AGCTTTAACAGTCAATACCCCAGAATCCTTTATAACAGCCACTGTGAAAACAGAAGGATCAAGCTCATCTTTAGCAGTGAATGAAACTCAACCACAGGATACTACATGTGAAGAAAACAAATCTGGTGCAAGTTCTGAAAGCTCCATGGCTGGCAGCCCTGATACAGAGTCACCTGTGCTAGTGAATGAATATGTGTGTATATTCAGTTAAGATGCAGACAAGAGAAATGACAAGCTTTTTTCTACTTCGGTGTTATTTCTGTTTTGCAGTCTTTTTTTCCATCTGCAAATTTGCTTTTTTCTGTTTCCATCTACAGATTTGATATGCACATTGGGGGTTTTTTATGTACTTCAATAGTTTTGGAGTGGAAAGAAAACAAAATCAGCAATTCTTAAATAACCACAACTTTCATTAACAGGAACCTGGTTCTGGAAATGTAAGTCAAAAATCTGATGAAGACGACTTTGTGAAAGTTGAAGACTTGCCCCTCAAACTTGCTGTGTATTCAGAGGTATTTTGCTATTATTTGTGAGATTGTTGTTTAGAAGTGCATACCCTAAATGTCTCTGTTACCATCAGTAAGAATTATCCAGAATTTTGAGATTTGCTTTTTCTGTTACAAAGGCAGATTTAATGAAGAAAATGGAAACAGAGGCCCAAACCAAGAGTTTGTCTGATGAATTACTGGGTGGAGGCGGAGCTCAAGATCAAGAATTAGCAGGAGATGGCCAAACACTGAAGGAACCTGGTAATTATTTTCTCTATTCTGCACACATATTGGGAAGGCACTCTGGAATGCTAGAATTTAAATATCACTGATTGAAGTAAGCAGTTATTGTGTCCATCTCCCTTCTAGATACTTTTTTAGATTCTGTGGCTGATAAAGTCATAAAAATTAACATATTTAAAGTGCATGCCACAACATAATGGTTTTGAAACTTACCCAAAGCAGTATTTTTGTTTCTTGTTACACAAGCTTGGGTTTAATAATATTGTAAACTATAATTGCTATTATCTGATTTAATAGCACTCAGTATAATTTCCTGACAGACTCCTCAGTGCTTTTGTTATAGAAACATTCAAGAGACTTTTCAGAATAGTAAAACATCTCAGGGAGAAAGAAATTATTTTTCATATGAAGTATACCGTGTGGTAGAAAAAAGTTCCAGTGTGCAGCAATAAATTTTTTCACTTTCGTGGAATGTTTTTTATGCAGATACAAAAACTTAATGGTAATGCAGGTCAGAGAAAAAAATATTGTTGGGTGGTTTTTTCTATAATATTGAGACAAAATTACAGTATTAAAGATTTCTATTTTATTGTTAGACTTGTAGTTCTCCAGTGGAGTGTACAGTAATGGCATATACAAAGGCATGAACTCTGTATTCTGATAGTAGCAGTTTTCTGCTAGTTTGGCTTCTTCCAATTCCTCAAATAGTATAATTAAACAGATTAATAGAAATAATTAAATAGATTAAATATAATTAAATTTAATGCTTTTGCAGTGGCAGCACAAATTTTTTTTTCCAGAACAAAATGTGAGGGAAGGTGCATCTTTCCTTCCATTTCAGTCACAGCTCTGCCAGCTCAAGCCTTTTGTGCCCATTTGGTGAATCCTGATGCCCAGGCCTGCTGTGGGAGCAGTCTGACCAGGAATGCCACACCATACTAAAGTTGTAGCTAGCTCTAAGCCATTCTTAAGCTGTGTATGGGGGGATGGCTGTAGCTGTTAAAGTAAGTCATGGCTGAAAATGTTTGTGAGGATGAAATAGCAGTTGAAACATGGTCATGAGTAGTTTGATGCTTTGTTAGATGTTAGACAGTTATTTTATTCTTGTTTTACAGAAACTTTCGGAGCTCAAAATGCATAAGAATAACCCGAAGATGTCTGCATTTATAAACTCTATGTATACAAATGCATATGGAAGATCAGCACTAATTTCCCAGAAATCTGGAAGTGTATAAAAATGTAAAATTTTTAACACACTGCCTCTTAGGATAGGTATGTGATCTTCTGCCTGTGGCAGTTTAAACAGCTGAAACTGAATCCACTTCTATTCAGTTTTGCTGCAGTGTTCTTCTTCTGTCTTAATTTTTTATTTTTTATTGTGACTTGTTTGGTAATTTTAAAATTGTTCAAAATGGTAGTTTTAAATAAAGTTTGGACTTGTCTGTAAATTTTCTGTTTTGAAAAATTTTCTTTGGCTTACAAACTGGTATGCTGAGTTTGTTGCCAGAAGTTAATTGACTTGTTGGCATGTTTGTAGCAGTTTGCTTTTCTCCTACAAGAAACACTGCTAATTTTCCTGGGACAAGAAATTCTCCAGGTTTCTTGCATCATCTGAAAATACAAGGTATAGACACAGTACATACCTACATGTTGTCTTTATACCCTAAAGTATAGCCTGTCTGTTACAAAACGTTCCTGTTCATGGCCTGTGGAATTCCTTTCTATCATCACATTTATCTGAGGTGATGTTGAATACCCCAGGTTTGTAGTTAACTGCAGAAACCAGCTGTATTTTTCTGCTTTTGCTGAATCCTTTTGATGTTCAAAGGATTAAACCGGTCTGAAAATATTAGTGTCTTTTCATAGCTAACACTTAAAATGGCTACAATTGAAGGTCTGGAGAATCTGTTCTAAAGTGTTTGACTTTGTAGTGAAATTTAGGAAACTACATTTAATGTTTTTGAAAAGCAGTTGAACTCAGCACCTCCTGGAGTCTCATGGTAAAGGTGGAATTAGAATTACAGAAGAGTAGATTGGAAAACCTTGTTCTGTTTTTCAGAGTTGCTAAAAACACCAAGTCATAAAACTGAACTACAAGAATCTTATTCAGCAGACCTGCTGCATTATAAAGATCCTGTTTACCTTAAACACAAGGCTTTTCTGAAAGTAGTTAAAAAGCACTGGTCATCTTTAATTCAGGATTGTGTTCCTTTTGAGGTTAGTATGATAATGTGGCTATATACTGTGGGAGACAGTATAGTGATGGTGAAGCCTAAATATGCTTGAAGTTTAAATAAAATGAGAATGTAATTCTTCTGTGATTTTTTTTTCTAGTTTGTTTGGGGTATCTCTAGGTTTTATGAATGAACTTTGAGTTGGCAGATTATTGTCACATGCATCTCATGTCCAAGGAAAAAAGTAGATTAGCAAAAGGTTTGAAGATAGTTTAGTTACTCTGCAGGCTTATAAACTGGTGGTACTGCTGTAGGCAGAAAAAACTTTACCATTTTGAGGCCCAAAGAAATACATTATGACAAAGGCAACTGTGAAACTGAAGCAATGAGAGTTCTAATTACTAATGTAGCCCAAGAACCATTCAGACTTTAAAAGAGGGTATTTTTTATAAATTAGAGTGACATTATGTGTACAGATTTGAAATAAGGCTGGTTTATATATTGAATCATTAAATTCTAAACTCAGGAAAGAGCCTGAGCACACCCCAGTCCTGAATTCTTGCTCTGGAATGGTGGGTTTAACCTCAACCAGCAACTGAGCACTAAGCAGCTGGTTGCTCATTCATCAACCACTGGAATCAGAGAGAGAAGTGGGAGAGTGAAAACAAAATAATTCCTAGTTGAAAGAAAAATTAATAGGTAAAGCAAAAGCTACACATGCAAGCAAAGCAAAATGGTAAGCAGGTGTTTAGCCCTCTTCAGGAAAACAGGGCTCCATGATACATAACAAGGACTTGGGAAGAAAATGGCATACTCCAACTGTCCCCTGTTCCTTCTTTGAGCTCTGTATGCTGAGCATGGTGCCCTATGGTGTGGAATAGCCCTTTGGTCAGCGTGGGGCAGCTTGCTCCCGTCATGTCCCCTTCTCGCTGGGGGCACAGGGTAATGAGCAGGAAAGTCTGGACTCTGTGCAAGTGTTGCTCAGCAATAATGAGAAGACCTCTCTGTTACCAGCACTTCTTTTCAGCACAGATTCAAAACAGCCCCACACCAGCTAGTGAAAATTACCTGTCAAAACCAACAGTGTATATATGAAAAATGCATTGAAATGGTATTTCTTTGGTAATACCTTCTCTCTACTGTTTTGTCACGGAATGGTCAGCAGGGATCTCTCGAAATCATCTTGTGTCAGCAGGGCCACTCAGAGCTGTTTGCCCAAGTGGTTTTTGAGTATCTTACTGGTGGGACTATCACCTCTCTGAGCAACCTCTGCCAGTGTTTATCACCCTTACAGGGAAGTGTTTCCTAACATTCAGAGGGAGCCTCCTGTGCTTTGCTTTGTGCCCTTCTAGTCTGCTTTCATTATCTCTTGCTCAAGTAGTGGAACTGCTGAAGTTAAACTCTCACTTATGCCTAATGCCAGTCCTTCTACTCATGCAGTTCATTTCAAGCAGAATTTGTTTATTGCATAAAAAGAACACTGGGGAGTGTGGGAGTGAGATAGGAGAAGCAGAGTCTTGTGCTTGATACATTGCTCGCTCTATTACTGATCTGGACCAAAACGAAATATTACATTTTACTGTCCAGTGCCCCCACAGTTCATCACTCAAGATGGTTCTGTAATGCCCTGAGTACAAAGAATTGTAAAAAATTATTCTTAGGATGAAAGTTCAGAGCCCAGAGTTGCTTTTCATCTGTTGCTAATGCAATTCAGTAATAGCTCTTCCCTTAGGAGAAGGTTGCTGTGGACACCTGTCCTTTACTGTGGTACAGTGAGTGACCTAACAAACCAGTGGAACACGTGTATGGAATGAAAACAAGTCATACTGGATTTGGACTCATTTTCACTACTGGAAGTAACTTACTTCTGGGAGGAAGATGGACTAATTTATTTCTTACTATAGATTGCATCACTGCTTTTCAAACGTTACTTTAATCAGATCCAAATGCGTCCTGAAATGATACATGCTCCAAAACTAATTACATCATCCACAAAGTCTAAACATTACAACAACAAACAACACTTGCTGTGGCTGCAATGATAATACTTGAACTGTAGTTACCTACTACAGGATTACCATCTTGCTTAAGAGCAAGTTCAAACAAAACCCTTCAGTTGTAAACTTTGAAGAACATAAGTCAAAACCCTTCACCCATTCTATAAGGTTGGATATTCCTACAGTAGTAGTTACTCAAAGACAGACTGGAACATTTCTTGTCCTACTTTTATATAAGTGTCTCTCTCTTCATTTGTCATGCGAGACACAAGCTCTGGGTTTTCACTAATTTCGCCATATGAACAAGGCTGGCCAGCTACCATTAAAATAGGACCCAGACTTTCCTGTTCCTCCTCTTGTTCAAAGTTGCTGCCAGCTACTTTCATTCCTGCTCCTCTTGAGTGCTTGGCATCCTCTTCAAACTCATTGTTATCACTGCATGATCCATGGAGTTTGCTTTTGACAACGGGAGCCTGGTCTGTGCTAGATGATGACTTGGATTCATGGATCAGAAGAGTCTTAATGATTTCATTATCAGTGACAGTTTCTTTAACAATTTCTTCAGTTTCTTCGGAAGCATTTACTCCTGATACACAATACTAAGTGTTAGAGGGATCAATCATTTACAGTTACCACAGCCATCCTATACAGAGGATTTTTTCTACTCTGCATCTTTTTTACCCACATTAGAATTCTGTTGAAAGTACAGACATTTCTGAGAGCTTTCCACTGTAAAGATTACCACTAAAATTACTTCATGGCTAAAGCTAGAAGTTTCAGGACCCACCTGACCTCTGGCTTTAGGACTATAACCTCAATCAGTCTTAAAACTAGATTTGGAAACTAAGGTCTGATAACCACTAACACAGAATTGAAACACTACCTTCTAAGCCAAGCTCATTACGTTTTCATTAGGAAAGCTATATTTAACTGCACTAAAGCTGCTGAATTAATTTGTAAATTCACTAAACTTACCAACACCATTGTTGGTGGCTGTTGCTGCTCCTTCCACAGTGCTATGTGACAACCAGATAGGTTGCTTTTCAGTTGCTTTTTCTCTTCTTTTCTTCTCGTGCTTTGGGTCTTGGACATCAATAGTTAAGTTTTGGGTGTATGTAAGGCCAAAAGCGGAACTTCTGTGTTCCCATTTTTTAGTGTGGCTGCAGGATTCCAGAACACTTGAGCCCAACATCGGATCAAAGCTGAATGAGGCGTCGAACGTTGAAGAGGTAGAATTCAGGCAAGAACCTCTTCCAGTTCCCATTAAAAAAACAACAACAATCAGAAAAAAACAAACCCCAAAACCATGTTTTGTCAGCAGACTAGCTTTAACAATCTAATAATTCACATCCCCTTTTACCTCTCTCAGAGGCAAGTGGTTCTGAACCACTGATTTTTTTCAAGGTCTCTTCATAGTGCAGCTCTGGATGAAGCACACTTGATAGAGAAACATTACTTTCTTATACAAAGGGCTGTGAACATTAGGTGAAGGAGTAATCTGGGAAATAAATTGCTTATAAAAATGTATCAAAAAACTAAAAAGGTATAGCTATAATTTAGGATGCCTTCGATATTAAGGGCTTCATTAAACAGCAGACTGTACTGAACAAAGAATGGAGAACATAGGCTGCAAGTTCAGTATTTTAAAGATTTTACAACTGTAAAGTTGTTGAGGGATTTGCATTGAACAGAAGTTCTAGGGTGATGTTCATACCTTTGTGTTAATTCTGGTATTTCTGTTGGCTGAGGCTCTAACAAGTCATAGGGCAGCACAATATCCTCAGTCTCACGCAGCAGCACAAAGATAGGCTCGATCTGCTCATTGAACTTCGCCAGCAAGGTTCGAGCATCATGCTTTGGAAATGCTGAGCCATCTTCCTCTACTTCAGTGTTGCAGTAAGTGCAGCGGAAAGTCTCTGCAACATTTTCCAAAGTGGGAATGCTCATGTTCATAGAATGCAAAAAGATCAGCAGTACCTTGTTAAACAGTCCACAGCCTGGACACTTACCCAGACGTTCTGACTTTATCCATTTGTTCACATTAACTAAGGGAACTCAATTCTACAGGCAAACTCGAGACAGACTGGTATTATATGCTTGTTATGCAAGTGAGAAATGTCTCAGGAGAGAAATTGAAACTGGACAGACATGTACTATCATCAGTTTATTTTTTTCTTCTCCAGTCTTACCTTCTCAGTTCTTAATGTAAGAAAAGACATTTTCAAGCATAAGTAGCATCTGGCTTTAGTTGTTCCAGAGTCAGAGTCCAGGCATATGCTAAAACCCTTTATTTATGTCTTCAGGAAAACAAACAAAACTTCAAGCTTATTCTGTGAAAATATATCACCAACCTCAATATTTGCATTTCAATAAGTCAACAGGGTCTTTGCATTTGGAAGAAGGGGATGATTTTGCTAACTGACAGAACACAAATTTCACCATTGGAATTTCAGGTTAGTCATATATAAAGCTCATTCTGCCTAGCTCTGGCATCCTTTGCAGATCCCATGACCCAGATGTCAACACAGTAGCTGTGCTCTGAGTAATGTATTGCACTATGATGCCATTTTGACTAATTTTGAAATAATACTCTAGTTATTTTGGTTTTAGAGAAGAAAAATTCGCAAGCTCTGAAACCACTTCTGCTGTGGATGTGTTGTGTTGACCCATGAGGAGCCTGAACTTCCCAGCCCAGGAGTGACAGAACTGGTGCTATGCTATGCTCTGGTGCCACTGAGCTCCAAGATGCTTATTACAGTAGGTGGCTGCAAACAGTTGTAGCCATCTTGTCCATCTCTTCCATCAGAAAGACTGACCACACAAATGGATTACCTAAGAGATTCAAAACAGAGTAAAGACAGTACTGTGTTTGTATTTCCATAAGAGGAAGTGAGACTCACAAGACTTGGATGAGTTACGATTATTCAACCAGTTTCAAAGCAAAGCTGAGGCCTGGAATCTGATTCTCAACCCCAGCTCATACATTCAAGATTAAGCTTCCTTTTGTTTGGCTTGTTCTCTAGAGGCAGCACTTCTCTTACCCTCGCCTCCCAGCATCCCCCATTCCAAAGCCTCATCCACCAGCAAACAAGAAGCATATTCTGACAAACATGCTTTTATTGAAAAGTTTGCTTAGGAAACAATTTTGTGCTCTCTTTACAATAACAGCAAATAAGCAATATAAATAACACACCTGTAAATGCATCAAAGAGCTGATTGACCTCTAGGTCCGTGTACGTGCTAGAGCAAGATGGACATTTAAAAGAGGATCTGGTAGTGGAATCCCGCTCATCCGCTTCTATTTTCCGGCGTACATGATCCAGTTTGTATTTTACCACATCCACCAGCACCTTGTAATTGATGTAATAGTAATTGTGCCTCGTGCTCTTCCCGTTAGGCCCCGTTTCCACTCGCATCCGCAGCTTCACCAGCTTGTCTGCCTTGAGCGTGTTGAGGACAGTGCGCAGCTGCTTCCGCTCGTACTTGAGCAGCTCTAACAAGTCCTCCTCTTTCACACAGGGGTAGCGGATCAGCACATCCAGGGCCAGGGAACACTCCACGCCATAGAAACCACGCACTATGTATTTGGCCAGGCGCTTTAGGGCTGCCGGCACCTCGCTGGGAGTGTTTTGCTCCATCAGGAGCTGAGCCACTGTCAGTAGAAAAGTGCTGTACAACAAAGAGAAGGGAAGTGAGCTGCAGTGAACTCTTCTTAGCCCTCACAGGCAGGTGTGAAACATGTAATTTGCTGTGCTGCACTTCTGCAACAGTCTTCACTGAATAGAGGAATGTAAAATCCTTAACGTGCATTGGGATGGCTAAGGTATTAATAGGTATCAGAAATTACCTAATCTTGAAGTACAGTGGTTACACCTGAAATATTAATATCGTCTTGTGTAAAAAGCAACAGAAGATATCTAGGAAAACATGTTAGAGGAAGTTCATAATCCTCCCAGAAGACAGGATATTTAACTTGCACGTCTAGGTCTGCCTGCTTGCATTCACAGCCAGCCAGGTAAGAGCAGAAGTAAAAATAAAGCCTTCAAAAATAAAGCTCAGGACAAGAAATCTTAGTTGCAACTGTATCTGCCTTAGAGGCAAAGCCACAAGAGGCATTTGAGCACCTGTTCACACATGCTTTGTGATATTTCTGCTGGCTGCTGTGATCAAAGATTTTGCAAAGCTGGGGCACAGGATGCTCCAAGTTATCTGGCACTCCCTCAGCCCAGGGTATTTGGGTAGCACATTTTATCTCTTGGTGTGCTTCTCCTCTAGAAGTAGGACTTCTAGCCATATTCCTAATCTCATTAACGAGAATGCAACTAATTTTAATCAGTCCAACTGTCCTAACTGTTTCTTAAGGAGGGAGAAGAAAAAATTAAGGTATATTTCCACAAAGCTACATCTCAATTCCCTTCTTTGGGGCATGTTAAAATCCTACAGTAGTATCTGACACTGCTGCCTCTAGCCAGATTGCTTTGCAATGAGCCATGACATGCACAGCCAGAGGGCTGGTGTAGCTACTGGCTCAGGAGCTGAGCTGGGAGAGGATGGAAAGTTATAGCACACTACATCCAGCCCTGGCACCCACTGCAGAGGGTAGTAAAGCTCCAGGTAACTGCATATTGCTATCAGAGCTTCCAGGGAACCTTGGTCAGAAATCCTGGTTAAACAAACAAGATCACTTGTACTAGCCTAGTACTTGGGCCCTAATTAAATTTGCACTTCACACGGTGCACTTTATGGAAAACAAAGACAACAATGGAAACCTGCTGGTCTGAGTCTGGAAACCCTAAAATTGATAGCACCACACTGACCTAAATTTCCTACAGGAAAAGTGAGGGAACACTGGAATGAGCTGCCCAGGAGAGAGGTTGAGTCTCTCTACTTCAACAGGACAAGAGCTGAAGGAGGCTTTGAGAGCTATTTTGCCATGAGCAAGGGACCAGATGGCCTCCAGATCCTCTTCCTAACCTAAATTCTTCTGTTCCAAGAGAGTTAACAACAGTAAGGAGTGAAGATTTGGCAATGTCAGTCTGTTCTTTGACAATCTTTCTCAGACTAAGAGCAGCATTTCTGTGCTTTTTGACAAAAGCCTTCATGAATAAGCACTTCTTAAAAGTTGCTGGTTTTGTTGTTATTATTTTTATGTCACTCTTTCACTTCTCCTTTGCCCTCATCCTCAAAAGGGGTTTAACAAATTTAATCCACAGAAAAATATGCTAACTTATGCTTCTCTTTCTGGCCTAATTTTGAACGTTTTTGTGTGCAGTACTTAGCAGTAAGGAAAGGATAGACAATGTCCTCAGCCAGTTCCAGAGAAGAGTAGCATGGCTTTGAGTTTCCTCAGGGAAGTGCTCTGGAGAGCACTAAGCCTTGTCCTTCCACACGGGGCAGAGTCCACAGAATGGAGGCACTGCAGCCTCCAGTACAGGCCCAAAGGAAAGCAGCCACCATGGAATTCTGCAACCCAGCCCAGCCCTCCTGAGGCCCACCAAGGGCAGCCCCAGCTTCCCTATCTGAAGTGTTACCCCTCATGTGCCTTGGTCTGGGATACATCTGAGAAAGCACAGGGTACCCTCTGTGTGGGTTGGTGTCATATGACCTCCAGTTGGATTGTGGCAGTATTAAGCAAAAGAACAAGACTGTTTATTCATCTAATTCTTGGCAAATATGTCAGCAGAATGCTGACACTTAAAGGACTTGTATTAGGTACAGCTCTCATGACTCTTTTTTCTTACCCTAAGTCAAATACAGAATGAAATTATTTCAAAGGGAGTATGGTAAGTAGATAACGTCATTAGGGAAGAAGTAGGACCTGAACAGTAAGCAGGAGGTTTGCTGACCTATCAGTTCTCTGGATGACTCCTTGTCTCAGGCTGGCACTGCACACTTGCATCTGTGAAGCATGCACTACTCTGAAGAGTTTCTGAGCATTTTGATGTTAAAAGCTTGTCAGGCACAGTCTTACAACCATGTAAAAGAGTCATGGAAAGAAAAAAAGCCAAACAACCAAACTCATAAACCCCACAAACTCCAGAAAACCCCACCACACTCATGCAACAAAGCCTAACCTTTCTGCCTGCTATACCTAAACACATACTTTAAATATCATTAGCACATTCTGGGGTACAAATAAGCAGCTTTTTTCAAAAGCAAATCCATAGAACCCACTGTCCATTTGCAGGGCAATTTTAAATATGCAAGCCTTTGGTTCAATAGAAAAGGAAGTGGCTTTCCTTTACAAAAATTACTGAATTTGACCTGAATAAGAGACACTCATGGAAAAAACAACCACCTCAAGAAATCTTCCTTTAGGCTACAAAAGAATCAAAATTGGATGTATTTTATAATAAAAATTAGTTAAAATAAAAACAGAGGGAAGCTTTTTCTACCATGCTCTGCTATATTTGATGTTTTATTTCTCCAATCCGCTCTGAAAAACCTCTCAGTTGTTTAATCACCCAATTTAACATCTCATAGCTCATAAAAATTACTTATTTTTAAAAGCTATTGTGTAGTTTCCAGTTGATAGGCAGCAGTTCTCTTTTGAGAGGAGTTGGAGACCATCCTTACCAAGGAAAGGAATAGGAAGTGTGGAGCCCTCTGCAGTGAGAAGTGCTTTAAACAGAAACCTGCTCTGCAGCTCAGCTACAGTCTGTGTTAAGGAGGCACGTATTCTACTACTCACATTGCTTTTTTCCCCCCTTTTTCTTTTCCCCAGCTGATAGCATGAATGGACAAGATATTTTAGAAGTCAGAATTCAACTTTGTACTTCTGCTTTAAATTTTTATGAGGGTAGGAACTACCTTCTTATTGCATTGATTATTTTAAAAGTTATTCAGTAACTTAAATATTTGAGTAGCCCTTCTGCTTATAGTTTATATGGAGCCATTCCCATAAGCAGAAGCTACATTTAGGATCCCCTTTTTGCTGTGGGAAACCTACACAGAGTTGCTTGTTGTGCCAGCAGGCAAATGTTAAAAGCAGGATTTCAAGTCAAGAGGCATCATAGATGAGCAAGTTCTGCAAGGTTTCTCTGAAGCCAGTTGCTTAATTAACTTTTTTTTAACTGACTAAAAAGACAAAGTACCCATCTCACAGTTCAAAAGGCACTAAACCAGAAAGATTTGATAGGATTTTATCAGACTTCACATAACCCTATCACTTGCAAATCAGTTAAAAACCTCATCATTACCTCTCTTGTATGGGCAGAAAACTTCGGTTGATGTTGTAGAGAAATTGCTCCTTTCCTAAGAGCTCAAAGTAACTGCAAAACAAGCTTAAGTATTTCCCAGCCTTTTCCTAGACCTATCTGTGATAAGCCCTAATCATCACCCAGCTGGTGCAAGAGTCCCCAAATCACATTTCATTGGCAGCTGAATGAGTTCAGCCTTATATACGTTGTGTCATGATAAAGCTATAAATCTTATTGCTTCATGAAATCCACCTACAACAGGCAAGGACTGAAAATGTGACTGCAATCTTTGATTAGTGTTTTCATTAGCATAACTTTAGAAGACTAAAAGTAACATCATCATTAACTCCTTTTGTTGTTGTTGTGAACCAAGTATTTAGATAATTTACATAATTTGTTTAGAAGCTTTCAGAACTGAACCAAACTGGAAATTTTAATATCTTAAAGGAAAAACTGGAATGTTTACTAGTTCTCATATTTTTACTTATTAATCCTTTTAGGTGGTTTATGTCTTCAAAAGGAAAGAGAGAGCAATTTTTCACTGTGCTTTTCTAGAAGACAAAGTTCTAGATACTATTTTATGGATTAGACATCTCTGTTTAAAAACAATTTTGAATTAAGGTTGACAGACATTGTACAGTAGAGATAAAATACTGAATTCTATTAGGATTGCAATCATTACATTTCATCTCAAACCTGTGCCTCTTTCAGAATTGTTTTTTACATATGCACAGTGGAGGCTAATGCTTTGTAGTGATGTGACGTCTCTACTTTTTGGAGATGCATTGCAGCATGTATTGTGCTTTTCTTACTGCTCTTGGTTGCTGGATTTCTGACTCCCTGACTTACCAGGCACATGAGTCCACTGAGGACTCAAGGCTGTGGGTGTTTGTCTGCATAGGACAGACTGTGGGACTGGCGTTGGTAATGTCACTACAGAAGGTAGTGCCTCTTAGAATTGGTGGGTACCAGAAAAAAAACTCTCATATTTTAACAGTCGTAAGCAGGAATTCAGATTTTAAAAAAAAGTTTGAGACTGCTTTTTAGAAACTGCAAGAAGAGGTGACTGTAAAAAAAATTCTTGAGATTAGCTCTGGTCTTGCTTGTAATTTATAGCAGTAGAGATTGGCTTCATCCCTTATGCTGAGAAAAATTCTGCTATTGCTCTCTTTTTCCCCCGTTAATAAGAATCCACTTGGCAGATACTCAGAGCTGAGAAGCATATTTGGCATAAATCTTCAACTGCATACGCAGAATGTCCACAGGGTAAAACTTAAGAGACATACCTCATTCCATAGAGTGGTTCTTGAGCATGCTCCTTTGTTGTCATGTTACACTAGAAAATGCAGGGGAGCAAGACTGCTTGCTGCTACCTGTTGGGTTTAGTCTGTGGGAAATGTTTACAATAAGCAATTCCTGTGGGTTTCCTTGCTCAGTGGTTTGAACAGGGAAAGTGTCGTGTAACCTCAGTGCTGTTGTTCCTGTCACAGCCCTCAGCCTGCATGTGGACCTGTAGAACCAGATGACAACAAAACAGCTTTCTAAATTAAGGAGAGGGATGGTGTGGCTGGCAACACTGCTTTCAGAAACAGGAAACAGCTGTCACCTGTCATGCTGTGGCTGACAGCTCCTTTGGCAAGGACAGCTTACCCCCATAGAGCAGACAGAGTGCTTAGTTAGCTCTGTACACTCAGAGCCAACCCAAAAAGAAAAAAAGGAAAAAAAATAAAGTGTGGTCTGAGAAGGTATTTCAGACTGCAGGTAGCCCTGGCACCAAGGGCCGTGGGAAGCAGGGTTTGTGCTGGTATGTTGTTGTGATGTTGTGTAACACAGACATTATTGAAAGTAGGAGCTTGAGACTGGGATAGGCAAAGTTACTTGGCTTCCTTTCAAACCCATTTGGATGGCTGGGATGTTTATCTGGAGTGGTATGGGCATGCACTGCACTTGCAGGCTACTTGATAGAAAGGAGGCAGATAATCAACTGAGCAGTCTCAGGAGGAAAAAATAAATATAGAGTCTGATCAAAGGTTGGAGAAGAAAATTAGTGGGCTGCTGCTTTGAGGGGCAAAGGAAGATCTTCAGAAAGCAAATATGGTACTCTTGACCCATTGGCAGAGCAGAGGCTGGTGCAGATGGCATAGTGGGAGGTTGTGGTGCACACCTTGAGTAAATGGGATCTGTTTCAAGTTCCTTTATTGTCTCTCTCTCTCTCACACAGACACATGGAAGCCACAATCTCCTATATCTTTCATTCTCCTCATCAATTAATACCAGCCCTCAGTTTAAAAAGTAAAATCTTGATTGGTCTAGCTCCAACAACTCAAGCACTAGAAAAAAAGAAAACAGCAGAATCATAGTAAGTACCTGTATGTAATCTGCTGCTCTGTGCTCACAGGGCTATTAACTACACAGTCACATCTCTCCTCTTTTCCCTGTGCTTTCCCTTTCACAAAGTCAGTGCCTCAGCCAACATGGGGGTGTCTATGTTCAGCATGCAGTGTGTGGCTCTGAGCCCTGCTTATTTTGTGAACCGTCCAAACCTTGCACTGAAGTGATTCACTTTTTATCAGTTGCCCTATGGTGCTCTCCTTTCCATGACCCTTGAAAGCTTACTGGGATCAAACTAAATCAACTTTCTTTGACAGCTTTAGCCTTTTTGCATTAGTTTATCTTCCTGATAATGAGAAAATTAAGGGAACATTTTGCCTGTTTTACATATGGAGCTCTGAGGTACAGAGTCTGAAATCAAGACTGCTGGATAGTCTTGAGAGCCTGAACTGAGATGTAAAGAATTTAGGATTCACTTTACAGTACTTTATATGATAGCAGCATAGCTGCATCTTAATTGCCTTTGTGATCAGTACTTCCAAAATACAATCCCTGGTATCACAGAGTGGGTAGCAGCCAGACACAACCTACTGCCTACAGCACCTGGCAGAACTGGGGTGAGAGTTTAGTGGACCCAGTAGGTACTGAGATGTGTCCCGTCTGTAACATCATCCCTTCTCTTGCAAGAGAGATGTCTTGAAAACTGGAATAGCTTGCTTCTTTATATCGTTCTCATTCTTCACAGGAACACAGTCCATCCTGTGCAGTGAGTGAAACAAGGGATCTCTTAAAGGGAATTTTGGGATCATACAAAGAGACTGTATCTGAAAAAGAAAGGGCAATGAGTGGTTTCTATGATTCTGGACACTTACAGCCTGAGTATACTTCTAACGCAACTTATCTTGATTTTAAATCTGAAGAACAGTTGCTTGAGATAATATGTAACTTTTACTTCTTTTTCCCACTTGGTTCACACAGAAAGGATGAAAGTTCATGGAGCTGGATATGGGTGTCTTAATAGAACTGTTTCCATCTCTTAGGGGATGGTGCATTTCTCTTGCAGGAATGTAAATGTAGCATTTTGGAAACTAAGCTGATGCAAATTATATGTAACTACTCATAGGTTTAAATACTGGTGCAATTCAGATGGTGGGTGTAGCCTGAGAAAAGACTATGTCTAATCCAAACACTTCCGGGTACCTGAATTTAAGTTCTGCTTTAAAAACAAGATGGCAGTGCAGGACTTTGCTACAACCCAGTGCTTGTGATCGAATCTTTTTTACTGCAGACAAAAAAAAAATCTTTCTTACTGAGATTACTCATTTTCACTGAAATATAAAGAGGAAAAAAACACTAGGGATGTTTGTTTTTTTTCTACACTGTGTATCTGCCAAATAGAGAAAACTTAGCAAGTTTAAAAGAAAGACAAGACTAATAGTACAAAACATTAGGCAAAGACTGGAGTTACCTTAAATGCAGAATCTCCAACAGAGGCAGTCTCACTGGGAACCTTTTATTGCTTATGTGTGACCCTTGAGCTAGGAGAAAAACTTTGCAAAACAAATTAGACTCAGGTTGTCCCATAAACTGTTAATGTAATTCAGTGCTGTAGATCAGAAAATGTCCTGAGTATAGTGCTTCTTGCTATGTAAACAGGCTAGCTCCTTTTTAATTATTGTCCTCTCCTATAAGTAACTGTGTGGGAGCAGACATAGTTACAAAGGGCCTTTAAAATCTTTGTGTCTGCCAAGGTACAATGGTCTGAGAAAGTGGTAGGCAGAGCTCAAGGGAACAACCACATGGTCTGCTTGGTTCTAGATCACAGCCTTTGGCCAACTGGTATGTCCAGTTTCCAGACTCTTTAGCTGTGAAAGGCAGCTTCTTACAAAATGCATAAATATCTGTCTTTTCTTTCCAAGGCAAACTGTGGCTTTTGCCGTGTCTTTGATTGAGCATTACTCCTGGCTCATCTTGTTCTTCTGGTCCAAAGGATAAGAGGTTTTATTGCTCAGAGAGCTTGGGTGTGCCCTTCTCACTAACACTTCTGGTGCTCCAAAAGTAGGAGAATTCATCTGATGATCCATGCCATAAGTAGGATCTTGTCATAAGCTGCTGTTGCCAGCCACTGCAGTGAAATCCAAGCTTTTTCTTTGCATTTCTTTCTCCTTGCACCTATAGCCCAAAGAGCTGGCTGTGTGAAAGCAGGATACATGTTTGTGCTGGGAGGAAGGAGTGTTTTGTTGTTCGTTTTATAGAGCCTGCCTGAAGCTCTCACCTGCTTCTTGTCTATCCACTCTCTATCATGCCTGTTTAGTCCAGTGAAAATATATTATTTACTCTTGCTGCTTTCCTTGCAGGTAATCCAGGGACATCTACGGGCCCTGCTCTGGAGTTTTGCTTCTAAGCAAAGCCTGGACTTATAATTGACTCTAAAGCAAACTCACTTGCATGTGTGCTCCAGAACTACTGCTTGACTTTGATAAGATTCCAATTCCTGCCTTCTTCTGTCCTCATTAACTGCCAAAATTTTGCTTTTTAACATGGGAGATGAGATTCTTTCTTCCTCTGAAATGGTATGAGGCTTCATTGCATGGGTTTCTGAAACTGTAAAGGTGAAAAATTTTCTTGGCTAATTTTTTTTTTTTCCATTTAAATTCTGGCACCCAAACAGCTTGGTCTCTTCAGTAACACCTTACTTAATCTAGTTTACAGTAAACTGGATTAACTGTTTGTATTTACATAAATAGTAAATCTGCTAGCAGCTTAGACTGAGGCTGGTTTTTCTAGAACTAGGCTATGCAGTAATAATCAAAAAGTATGTTTTTCTTGTTGCTCACATATTGACCTTTTTTTGCAACAATTTGATTGTTTTTCACAACAAAAGCATATCAAACTTTTTGTCTGGCTTGAGAAAACTTCCAGACTTGACAGGTGAAGGTTAAATCAATAAGCAATTAATCACTTTCATCACTTTTTGTATATTAAGGCAGACACAGTAAAACAGTTGTTGGGGGTTTTGTTTATAAATAGCTTTGTTTTTTTTAGTCAATAGCAGCATAGGCATTCAGGCTCTGGACAGACATCCATGGAATTTAGCTGTCCTTTTGCAATTGTAAACAATTTCAAGTGTGGAAATGTGGATTGTCTTACACAAGGGACATTACTTAATAACTGTAAATAGTCTACACTACCTTGTTCTACATATGCTAAAGTGGGACAAGACTAATTAAGCAAGTAAACTGATTTTTAAATTACCAAGTAATTTGATTATGTTACACAACTTCACTCCACATAAATCCAAACAATCCCCTACCAGGTTGAGGTGTGCACTCAGAAATCTGTGATGGGCTCTTTGCAGTACAGACTGCAACATCTAACGTGGTTTAATTGTCTTTTATGAATCAAATGGCCCAAGAGCTGCATTTTACACATGCATTTTTCACTAATTTAAATTGCATTGTTATATTTGATTTACATAGATTCAATATTCATAGTTGAGATTAAAAATGGACCCTGGTAGTACAATCATGCTAACATACTTCTGCTTGCATGCTTCAGCTAAAAATAAATTAGATGCACAACTAACTGCCCCTTGTTTAATCAGTGGGATGTTGATTTCTCTGTGCTCTCAATTTGTCAGTGTTACATCCCCCTGAATTGCTTATTGCTGTGCTACTACAAGCATTGTTCTAAGGCCTAGAATATCAGTGTTTCATTTCCTTCAACCAGAAGCCGTGTTTCTTTATCAGCTGCTAAAATTATTTGGTAAATAGCATTCCTGCTGTCTCCACTTCTTCCAATGCTGTTGGGAGGAGAGCCTCTAATAAAAGCCAAGTTTGCAGTAAAATGGTAACCTGGCTACTGAAACAAGGAATGAATCAAGGTTATCTTTTAATCATAAAACATTGAGTTAAAAAGAATCTCAAGGATCAGCTGGTCCAATCTTTTTTGGCAAAAGCCCAATCTAGACAAGAAGGCCCAGCACACTGTTCAGCTGACTCTTAAATGCCCAGAGTTAGAGAATCCACCACTTTTTCCCTGAAGACATTATTTTGATTTCATTCCCCTTCTGTAGACTTCTTAGTGTTAAATTTCTAATTATGGGGTAAAGAATTTAATACCCTTCAGTGTTTGGAACAGGAAGCTGTAGTATACTGTAGCAGCTCTCAACTTCTGCATTACACCAGTACTGTTCTGTGTGTCCTGGCTATCTAGAGTCCCATTGTGACTGGATGTCATGAACTTGCAGGTTTTAATTGGAATGCCTCATGCAATACTGTCTCTGTAGACACCAAAGAGAGAGCAAACACTTCCCTTACACTCCTGGCAACTTTGAATTCCTGGTGCAATGGGAATAGGAATAGCACCTCTTTCCTAGCGGGTTGAGAAAATATTACAAGGGAACCACGATACATACCAGTCCCTAAGCTCACTCTGCAGTGTCTTCTCCTCACATGTTAGAAAACACAAGAGCTGGAACTGTAAGCTAGCCCCAGCAATGCAGCCAGTGGCACAGGTAAAACTACTGCCTCCTACATTACCTGCATCCAAGGATATTAGGGTGCTACTACTTCTCTCTAAAGGACCTTTCTTTCTTAACTTGAATTCCAGACAATGATGTAATCTGACTTGGTGTCCTTTTCTCACTTTCAAAAAAGCCAACCAACTAAAATCCTCCCAAAACAACCCAATTAGTTTATTATGATAATAGCTTTAGCTACCAGTTTACAAAATCATAAGAAATCAGTTTTTCAGACAGTCTATTTGGAAATGAAAGCAGTTTATGCCGTGTGGTATCTAACATGCATGATGTCTTAGACTGAAGTATGAAACCAATACATGTGTACTTTGGTCACAGAAAGTATATTTTCTTTATTGTATTAGTATTTTTTTTGAGATAACAGAAAAATCTGCATTAAAAAAACCACATTTGTTAACAAGCCAAGAAAGAGCTTCAGCAAAAGAGTTACAAATCAGTAGCAAGACATTCTTGGCTCAGATCTTATTTCAGATATTTCCCCAAGACCTTGTTTCTGTGACAGAATATGACACTTAGTAGGCTATTTTATAAAAGTGCATATCAGACATATCCTCGTATTAAACCAGAACAATAGCAATTTAAGTGCTTATGAAAGAATAATAGAATTGTATTGTTCCCGATGGTTGTCTTATACCCAATTCTTTTTGATGCTTGGTAGGTGCCATTATAACTTGTGTCCTTTTGAAGGATTTTAATCGAAATAAACCATACTAAAAACCCCAAAATTAACAAACTCCCAACCAACAACACACCAAGAATACTGCAAAGACTGAAGAGATCTAGAACTTATTGCTGAACTCATTTGACAGAAATGGCTGAAATCATACCAGACACTCATGAGGATACATTTCTTGTCAGCAGAACAAAGCAAGAAGAGTCTGCTGTGAGACAGGGTCCTTCATTGTTAGAAGTGTTTTGCCATTTCTATAGAGCCATTAGATTTCTGAACAAAGGAGTTAGACTGAGTTATCTCTTTCCAGAAGCATTTTCTCGTGGAGGATGCCAATTTGGACAAGCAGCTTCCAACACAGGAGAGGTACAGGGCTACCAAGGGCTACAGGGATCTGGGCATTCCCGCAGGTAAGTCTCTGTATGGCCATTGTACACCTCCATCAGCGTTGTGCACACAGTCAGCTAAAGGGCAGGGGGAGGAAGAAGAAAGAAGAAAATAAACCACATCACAGGAATTAGTGAAAAACTCTCTCTGATACAGCTGAACAGTTCTACAAAAATGAGCATTTAACTTCTTTAGTCAACAACATGCAAGTACGAATTGTCTGTGTTCTCAGTCAAGAATGCTGCCTCCACTTAACACAGGAACTAAACTTCATTATTCAAAAACTCTTAAAAACTATTTCCTTCAGGGTTTTTTTTCCTAAAGACCAAAATTTCAAGATCAGACTAAAAACTCTTGTGTTGCAAGAATAACGTGCCTGTAGTATACCTAAATCATGAGGTATATTAACTTGTTTTATGTGAATTTACAAAGACATAGATCACGCATTATTTCTGGTTAGAAGGGTGCTCAAGATTTCTGCAAAGTGGCTGCTGCCTCAAACCAGGGCCAGCTATGAGGAAAGGGCTTAGGTTACCAAGAATTTTAAAGCTATAGGGCCATTGGAAAACAGCTATTTCAGCCATTACATTTTGCTTTTAAAAAGTAATGTGAAATTTGTTTTTACGTTAACATTTTCGCCTAAAACCCCTGAATGTACCACTGAAGCCTCCTCCTTAGATGTACAGTAGTTAGTGGTCTGCTCCCCACTCTCAACTTCCTACAAAAATAGAACCATTACCTTATTGAGGACAGGCTTTGTGGAGAGAACATCATAAATTGCTGGTAGGGAGAGATTCTGAAAGAAAATAATACACTGATATTAAGGGGCATTTAACCTGTTAATGTAAATGCTGAGAACTCATTTTTTTACACCTCATTTAAATAACAGGATACATCTTTAAGAGTACAAGATTCCCATAACACTTTGATATCAGAAGAATGTAGGCTATAAAAATTTGGCCAGACTAGATCTTAGCAGAACATGACACACTTAAGTGTGTTTGCTGCCCGAGAGTGTGTGTTTGAATTTCACTGGTAAAACTACCCTGAAAACCCCGCAAGTCTTTCTCAAAGTATCTTTGGGTGTACCCTCCTGCTTCTGCAGCTGCTGAAAATACTTTCAGGAAACCCACCTAGATGAAAAAAAAGCCCAAAACAAACCAAACAACCAAACAAAAAGACCCCAACAAACCAAATAAAAAAGAATCCCGAAAAATCCAATCTCCCCTAAAACTACCACCAAAAACCAAACCAAAAAACAGAACAGTATCCCAAAAAAACCCCCAAACAAACGAATAAACAAAAAAACCACATCCTCACCCATGTAGAGAGCCATCTTCTTATAACCCAGAAGCAGAGACAAGTTATCACAAAATTATCAGCCACTTGTGTCATTACAGCAGCGCTTGAAAATAACCTGAATGCTCCTGGCTGTGTCAGGTCAATAATGCAACTTGGGAGTTTCAGACCAGCAGGATATGATTTTTTGGAGGATGCTTACCTCTTGAGTTGTCTGGTTCAGGCATTTCATTGCGGGTCCTCTACGATTATCCAGCACCAGTGGAGGCTTCCAGCGATCGTAGTTGGTTTCTAACACGTACCACGTGCCCTTCTTGATATCAAGGCTGGAAAAGAGGTCTAAGTTTGTGTTTTGCTTCTCTAAGTATACAGTATGTACTATATACAGATGCATTATTTTTTTAGGCTTGCTGTGGTATTTTTCAATGACGGTAAAGAAGTGAGTTCTTGTACAACAGCAGTCACAAGAAACAGACCACACAATTATTGGTGGAACCTGTCCTCTTCTGGAAGACTGAGTCAGGTGTCAGATCAAGCATACTCACTCCCAGATATCTAGAGCAGCTGTCCTGGATCGAGTTATCACACACCCTTCTCCAGAATTTTTTCCACCCAGAATAAAGTAAGCTGGAGCCAGAAGTCTTGTTTTTGCCAGTCTGTCTTTTGCATCCTGGTAACTGTGGGTAAAATAATGTTGGACTATTAAATGCTACAAATGGTTCAAGTACTCAAGAGCAAGTTTCAGAGACCCAGGAAAAGTTTGGGTAGTTAAGCCTTTCTTCCCATTTCATGCACATATAAGGAGACAGGATCATGATAAAGGACCACATTTAAGTAAAGCTTCTCGTCTCATTTTGTACTTAAAGTATGATAGTTAGAGGTGTTCTTTACACTTTTTCTACACTAAAAATATGAGTAAAATGATAACATACTGTGTCATATTCCACTGAATTAATTTATTGCATAACAGCTTTGTTTCTGCTTACTTCCTACAATGTACCAGTACCTGTTGGATGTGCTTTGATGCAGAATGCTGTTACGCATTTAGATTACCAACAGACTCATCAGGAAAAAAGAAATCAGAGAAAAAATATGAGGGATCATGTGTGATGCTTCACCTCCTGCTCCAGAGTACCAGCAAAACCAGAACTATTTAAAGTTAAGGCCACTAGGGAGGTATCTGTATCACAGGATATTATGCGTACATCTACAGTACTCATGCTAGTTGAATGCAAAGCAGATTAAATTAGCATAATACTTAGAGGGAATACCTTGTAGCATTCTCTAATACTGTTCTTGTAAGAAAGCCCATCCACATACCATCTCTTCTACCAAGAAACCATTCGAAGATTCCTGCAAAATATCACAATAATTTGTTTTCAGACAGTTCACTCATGCTATTCTAACTTTCACAGCTGGTTTTAAAATGAGCTGTGTTTTATCTTACTCATCTGCAATCTTTTCACCATTTGTGTGCCTGTTTGTTTCAGTAACTAGTTTGCCCAAGGTCTGGAAAACTTGGGCAGAAATAATGAAAGAAATGAACATTACTCACCCACATAACCACCATCAAGACTGAAACGCTCGTTCATTGTCAGAGTGAACAAGTTCTGAAAAGAATTAAACAAGCCAACCTTCAGCCATTGCCAGCCCACGAGTACCACTAATACACAAGAGGCAGCATTGCAATTTAGATGTCAATTGAGCTTCTTTGTTAGACTCTTCCCCTCTGAGTAACAGACTGCAAGATCAAGCTCATGTAGAGAAGAACCCAATTTATCATGGCTTGAATAAGTAGAAATGAGTTTTTTGACCCGGCAGAAAATCAGCAAGGCATGCTTTTACACTAAGCAAGTCAAGCCTGTGGCCATTTTTTCTTCTTGGTCTGTGTTGCATCACTGAATTAGCAGTTTTCCTTTCCCTTCTTCTCAGACCTCTGAGTACTATTCTACCTTAAGTCCCAGTGCTAAGCACACCCTGATATGTAACTGCTATTCACATGGGCATGCAGCTGCACACTCTGCAGTCCATGCTACTTGGAACACACAATTCAAACTCAAATATCTCCGACTAATGTTTCAGAAAAAAAACCTGAACTCAGCTACCCTGAATCATTTTCAGAATGGAATCTTCCCAATTTATTTGAGCAAAAGATAAAAATAAATGAATACAATGCAGAGATTTAGGCCAGAAATGGTCTACAAGAAGAAACACGACCTACAATAGAAGATAGAGAATATAAAAAAGGAGAAATTGTGGTAAGTTGGACACCCTGATGTAGTTCTGTACTGGTAATTTTTAAGAGGTATATAAACCCCAGATTTCAGGAGCCTATTAAACATAAACCAAACAAAATAAATCTTAAAATGCAGGACTGCCTTTTCTAAGAAGGATTGGAGAAAGAATTAAATAGCACAAGCGTGCTGTTTCATCTCTGGGATCACAGCATTAGCTATTAGCCAGCAAGAAACTCTAACCACTTCAGCACTTTGTATTCACTCCTGCTCATAGTTGAAATTTAATGCTGTATTTAAGAACTATCCAAACAGAAACATTTCATTTAGGCAATCTCCTTTCACAAGGAAGAATGCAGCATTGTTTTCTTTATCTGTTTTCAAGTAGCTATGCTGTGCACCAGAACAACTAAGAGATCATTTATTGGAAAACATCCCAAGGCAGAGCATGAAAGCAGAAAAATTTAAATATTAAAGGAAAGTCTGAAGCATCAAGGCCCCATCCCCATACTTACTGGTTTGACTCCAGACACCATGCCTATGTATCCTGCAAAATTTGTGGACTTGAACACTGTTTTGTTGTTTCTCTGAAAGTCCAAAAGTACCACTAAAGGCTTCAGTTCCCGAGTTAACGTCCAGGAATTATTTTTAACATCCCACCTGCAGGAGACAGTACAGCATTTGAAACTTCCCCCTCTCAGTAGTTTTCAAAGGTTCCCTTCACAGCATGCAGGCATCCTCTGTATGATACCTGTCCTCTGATCTTACTCACATCAGCCAACATCACTGCTCTGTAGTTACCTGAGAAGCACCAGCAAGGAACAACTAAGAAGTCTAAATGCACAGGCAGGCAGTGAAAAGAACTAAGTTCTGTTTGAACCAAGAGTATATATATTGCTCAGGATTAAACAGCACCACCATCACAGCTAGTTTGTTTTGAACACATAACTTTGTTCTCTACCTGCTGGCAAAGGGAGCCATAGGTACCGCTTGTGACACCAAACCTTGAGTTCTCATTTTTCAAAGGCAGAAAAGAAACCATGTACTACTGGATTTGAAGGGAAGTACCAATTTTGTGAAATAAGCCAGACCAGTTTGTAGGCAAAAGTTTGATAAAGAGCACTTAGCAGAATGTTGAATTCTCTGGAAATAATCCAGACTCTGGGAGCAGCTTTGAAAGCTTCTTTCATTTTCAGGAAGCATTTTTACAGTATTGCTGACAAGTGAGAGAAGTCTAACACAAGCCAAACCAAGGGAAAGGTGGAGTCACAGTAGACAACATGTGAGTTTTTAATAGGTAGGTAAGAACTTTAATAAGGATGAGCATTTAAATTCCAATTGTGCATTGAGCATCATCTGGATGAGTGATATTACAAAATATACTGGGGTAATAAAAGCAAACGCTGAACTACCTGATCACAGGGTATGAAAGGAGAACTAATAGGGCTAGGCAACAAACTACAGAGCTTGTAAAGAAATGAAGAATGATGGGAAGTGCCAGTGGAGCACAGTACAATAACTGGGTGGGAGGAGAGGGGAGGAAATCACCAAAACCCCAAGCCCTAATCCAATCCCCATTTCACTGCATGTATTAAAATTGCTGCTTCAGCCCTTCATGTAAAGAACAAGATACACTGTGCCTCAGAGATCAGGTTACACGGGCCATTCTTTAGTTTGACACAGTTTGAACTGGAGCTGAGAATAACAGTAAGTAGCAAAATACAACTTTTCTTGATGCACTTGGGGCAGTTTGACATAATATCAGCAGAACATCCCGATCTTTTCATTTCAGCCTTTTTTCACAACAGAAAATGGAGAATTACTTGTCCCAGTCTTATGGATATCCAAAGAAGACTCAAAGAATGTATGTGGCTATTTAAAGTTCAGCTTGCTTTTTCTTTGGGTTTAAAAAAAAAAACAATCACAAGTTAAAGTACTTACCCTAGGAACAGTCCAAAATCCAAGTTTCTGGCGTGGTACAGTTTCCCTATACAGCAAAAAAATAAATACAATTTTCCATAGAAATAGACAAATTTCAGCTTAGAAACCCAAGAAATGAGTAAGCAGTCAAATATCTGGGAAAGTGGGCGAGAAAATAGCATTCTCTACTTGCTCTTTTCATAACCACAATGTTATGATGGGTTTTTATTGGTCAGAGCAGTGTTTTGCCATAACTGAAATCAAGTAATTTTGCAAACTGCTGTCCATCTCAGCCTCTAATCTTTCCACCTTATCTGAAAGTGAGATGCTTGTAAGCCCTCTGAGAATCCCTTAGAAACTTCCTAAGTTGGAACAGGTGCAGACAAGGGCTGCAGAACTAAGCAGTAGAATTAAAGTCTCTTTTCTTAGAAGGGACTGTCCATTTTCTCTACCAGCATACACATGCAATATCTAGAAACTAGATGCAAAATCCTGCATGGCATTGAGAAAGTTTCATGTGTGTTGCTAGTGTTTCTTTCCCCTAGAAAGACCAATACCACCTACTAAAAAACCCCCAACCAACCAATCACAAAAAACTCACCATCTGACAAAATCAAAATATCTTTGAAAGCATTTTTGTCCTTTTTTTTAAACATAAGACACTTATGAACTATTATTCCCTTTCACAAGGACTACTTTTTATTATCAGTCCTTAGGCATTATTATTACCTTTTATACTTTATTTATTTCTCTTTAATAGACCTTATTGCCTGCAGTTAAGGATGAATGTATTTGCATAACTGAGGTGGACCCTCTTCTACATGAAAGAAAACTATTATCACTATTTTGGATTGCATTACCTGTTTTATCTTCTGCCACTATTGATGTACATACAGTAAAAATTTCATAAAAAATGTTAAAAATCACGATTTCCCCTAGAAAAAAAAAAAGAAACAAAGTTCAATAGTTTGAAACTTACCATAAGCAGAAAAAAAGGGTTAGAAAAAAGCATAGTGTAAAGTTCAGTATTCTGTAATATTTCTGTTCAATATTTCAATTTAAATCTTCTTTGATCTTTAAAATGACTGGTTCAGCAAAATCAAGAGCTTCCTGAAAGGCAAATAGAGGGATCAGAATCCCCTGACCTTCTGCCTTACCATGCACAAAACTGACAGTCATTGCTATTTCCTCCTCTGGAAACTTCAAAACAAGCTATGAAATTCACTTTGAAGAAGAAAGCTGTTATATGTACCACTACTGCCACATAAGAGCTGCTGCTAGCAGCAGGCAGTGCCCCTTCTCTGTCTCAGTTCTGGAAGAACTCAGTGCCTACACTCCTCACCTGGAATGGCCTTCTTTTCCAGGAGGTACAGAGCAAAGGCAGAAGGACGTGGCAAGGACCACAAGGGAAAGCAGGAACAGCAGGTAACTCAGCATTAACTTCTTTCTATGTCAACAGCAGACATGCAGCAGAGTGCAAAAACAACAAGAATAAAGGATTCCCTCAAATTTTGGTGCACAGGAGCTGAGACTTGCTCCACTTCCCAAAACCTTGGAGTGGGAACTTACAGCTCTACAGAGAAGTCCCAGCCTGATAAAAGGCTTATATGATTTATTCCATTTTCCTCTAAAACACTGTTTTTGTTTAGTGTGAGATGTAATTTATTGCTTTAACTACTTAATTAATGGTTTGCTAAAGTCACAGATGACTAAAACTAACTAACTGCATATTGGTAAACACACTAATTTTAAATGAGTCTGTGTTCAGCTTTCCACTATGCTAATAAAGTGTTGGAAACTGTTACCCAAAGGAATCCCAGATGAATTTGCAATCCCTTGGAGCTCTTCATTGAAAGGATAAGGGAGGGTGGCAGTCAGATGAGCCTGAAAGGAAAAGTTTTATATGATATACATTTAAATTAACAATATTTTATTACTTATAACAAATGTCTCCTCAACAGACACAGTTTTCTCACAGCTATGGAGTGTTTAATTTCTCTGCAATCTGTAGAACTTGAGGATGTTTGCAGAGTCCTTTGAAGACAAGTATGCACTTAACTGAAGTAAAACTTATCAAAGCACTGACGTGTGCAATGGACATGAGCACAGCCTCTATTAGCGGCAACAGACAGAAAAGTGAAGTAAGACTCCTATAAATTAAAAGCTCAACTGCAAGGGAGCTCAATGTCGGTGTTTTTGGGCATCCCTGACTTTCACACATCGGCATGGCACCTGTAAAAGCTGCCTTTACGTCCACCCCACTCAGGCACACAAGGATATAACTAAAGGCTGTAACTAAAGATGGGGTAGAGATCTTATCTTTTGCTGTCTCAAACCCTACACTGCTTTCCCCTGTTTCATCTCAAAGCTTACTTTAATCAGACTCAAATTAATTTTAAAAGCAAGGCCTGGTCAAAGCTGTCCCTGTGATCAGACATTTATTACAGTTTCCAATATCTGATTTTATTCTACTGTTTAAAAGAAGTGGAATATGGTAAAAAATCTCAGTCAAGTGTTTTGCTACAGTAACAGTTTGTTACATATTTGTCCAGTGTTACCAATCCAAAATTGAAAATCTTATGAAAAATTAGAAGAGGAAGAGACATGCATTTTTTGTTTGATGGTTTCAGTCATTCAGAGTAGACAAGAAGGCAAAATTTCAGAGTGACTGTTTGAAATAGCATTTTTGTTCTGTTCTGGAAGTGGAATTAAGAACTTGTAAATTAATAACTTTGAAAGTTCTTAATTGCCAGATTTAGAAGTATTCTAATTATTTAGTCAGAGCATACAGAAATAAAATAATTAAGATGAAAATACTTACTATTTTGTTATCCACTATGTCAACAACTTTGCCACTGGGGAAGAAGGTATTTGCTATATCTTTAATATTCTGGACCACAGTCTTCAACTAAAAAGAGCAAGGCCTTTTGTTAAATAGAAGATCTTAAGCATAACAGGACGCCTTGACAGACTTTTGAAAAAAACACTTTGTTGCAAAAAATATATATTTAAATAAAATGCTAAATGTTGCATTCTTGAAATATTCCCAGCTCCCCACTAGAATCACTCTTCAAGATTTGTTCACTTAACTTTCTTGATTAATTCCAATGTGTCTTTCTACCAGAAATAACAAATTACAGGAAAGCCATCTTTGTGTTCTGCTCCTTTGAACACATTTTAGTACTCTACACTCTTTCATCTTTCAGAATGTTAATTACAAGCTCTTTGCTTAAGCACTGATAGCACTGAAGACAAAAACACTCAATAAATTTGTTATTAAAGCACATGCATTCGATTTGCAAGTGTTGCAAATAAGAGTTCCACGCCATGTGATCTAATTCCAAAGTACACAAGAGATAAAACTCTTCAGAATTTAAGGTGAAACTCGAAGCTGCCAACGCCCACTGGCCTAAATGAGACCTCAAAAATAAATATTAGCATGTAAGTAGAATTTTTCTGACTTTCAGAGTGGAAAGGCCAAAGTCGAGGGATATAGCAAAAAGCCCTGGCCTTGAGAAATTAAAAATTACTGAACTGAATTTTCAGCTATCTTCAGAACAGCTGTTTTAAGTAGTCTGAAATAGGCTCAAATATTAAAAAAATTATTTGTGCTATGTAAACACCAGTGCTACAACCAGCATTCCTAAAAAGGGCAGGAAGTTCCTAATTTGCCCCTTGCCATTTCATCATCTCATGTAGCATTTTGAGAGAAGTAGGGAGGTGCAGAGAAGAGATGCTGCCTCAGTTTCACTTCAGTTTACTAAGGCTATTTCTTTGGTGTGTCACTCCCTCTTCATCCTCCATCACTTCAAGACTAAGGAGATTTGATAAATGGAATGGCACACACTTGTTTATGGCACACTGGTTTTTACATCTCACCATCCCAAACACCAGTGTCTCTACACTTGATGTTGCTAGCTTAAGTATTAAACAGAAAAAAAAATTTACCCATGCAATTATTTTGGACTGTAATCATATTAGAAAAGTCTGCTGGAAATATTATCCCTTTCAGATACTTTCAGCACATGTACTCCTTTTAAAACTTTTCTCAGAATAGAAGGCTATGTGCTAGTTTTATATCTGCTAAGCTTCAGAGCAAGCTCTGCATTTCTCACCTCTGTCTTTTTGTCACGCATCAACTCATCCCACCTTTTGCTGGGAGGTAAATCGAGATTTATGACGTATGTGGGTATATTCCCTTTGAACCTGAGAGAGAAATACCAGAGATCAAATTTAAAGAAGGTTCTGAAGAAACATTTGAAAAAACAGGTGCTTTCCCACCTGTAACTAGCATTTTGTAGACCTACAATAGGAACGAGTTGCAAGAAAAAAAACCTTGTTCAGACTTGCAAATCACAACCTCTCTGTAATTTGCTAGACAAGTTGAATCATATTACTTACGTTGGTCCTGAAGGAGGGTACATTTTGCTCCTGCATTCTTCTCCATACTGCAAAGACAATGGAACATTACTATTTAGCCTCTTTGTTAAAAACACTATTATTCTAGTAGACCTAGTTTTGAATTAAACCTTTAGGACTAATCAGTTATTCAAAGTCTTGGGACTTGGGAAAGAGGAAAATAGAAGAGGAGGGACCAGAAGCAACTTCCCCATGCTGTCTGACAGACCTTTAGACAAGTTGTCTAGTGTAGTCCAGGGCAACCACAAGGGTATGACAAATATACAAACTGTATATATTTTTACTCCACGTGATTTAATGAAGAGCACTTCAAAAGCATATTCTTTCTGCAAGTTCAGGAACCTTAGATCTCAGTGTGGACCAGTCTGTTCTGTTCCTCCAATGCATAATCCCATTTCATAGTGTCATTCCTAATTATGTTTAGTGTTAAACTCCACTGTGCAGCTGGGGCAGGGAAAGCATAATGAACTTTGGGTGATCCCTCAGCTGGTGGAATGAGCTACATGGTGTGACTTCGGATTCAGTGTGGAGAAGTGGTGCTAAACAATATGTGGGGTACAATTAGGAATGTGACTAAAAAATACACCCTCATTCCTGGGAGCATGGCTAGTTACAAATGAAAGTTTGTGAGCTATTTTAGGCATGCTCAAAGTGAATGCTAAAAGTGAATGTAAAAGGTTGTTTTTCTATCAATTACATAAACCATGCATATATATAAATATATATAAACATATGCATATACATGCCCCAATTATAATTCTATGTTTTACCCAATGACATACAAGCAAATGCCTACTGGCCACCCAAACTTGTGCTTCAAGCTAGTTGAGAGCAGGCCAGATTTGGTCCCGAAACTATGTGAGAAGTTCAGAAAACTCCTTAGAATATAATATATCTCACTAAGAAAAATGAAAGGTACATGTGCTGTTCTGGGAGCCCGCAGAAAAGCTCCCAAAGCACAATTGTTTGGGAGACAGAACACAGACAAATTATGGAGAGATCCTTCCACTAATTCCCTTCCTCCCCACCCTTAATTTCCAACATTTATTAGGCTGTATTAATTAGATTTCTAGTGCGTCCTTATAATGCATTCCAGTGAAACCTGGAGACAACATCTCCAGCACCTACATAACTGGGACAAAGAAATTAACTCATGTCAACGTTCTCTTTGTGCTAATCTCATTATCTGTTTTTAATGCATTAATATAGAAAACACAATGTCCTACAGAATCCCACGGACTTTAAACACTGGCCTAAGTTGCTACAACTGGAAACAGCAATTCTAAATTGGGATTGACTTCTGTGTGTTGTAATGCTATTTATTTCTACTGTTTCCAGCTGGTGGGAGAAAGCATGAGATGAATTTTGGTTTTCCAACACATGAGGCGAAGGTATAAAACCAGCAGTTTTGTGCTTCCTAGATTCTACTGCAGTGTAGTTATAGCCTTGCACAGCTGGAACAAAAAGTTAAACATAAAAGGCCATTTAATTTTCAAAGTGTGGAAGCATCAAAACAAGGAGGGCATGAGGGATATCAGATGACTAATTAGGCAACAAAAGTCAGAGGTTTTGTGCAAAGCCAGACGAATGCTTAAGAGTATTGACGCAACTGTCTTGTGCAATTTTCCATCCCGCAATGCTAAATTCCATCAGAAAAAAGGGACATTACATATACATCCTAGTGCAATGGATGTACAGATCTGAACCTTCAGGAACGACCTCCATCAAAATACGTTTCCTGACAGATAAAGCTTCTAACAAAAAAGTTATCCAAAGTGGATGAGAATTCAGTTGCTCTGTCAGTAGAGTCCACACTCACAGAGGAAACAGTGGCACCTGTGCAAAACTGATTTCAGAGGATTTTAAGCTGAAGGTGCTAAACGTTATGTCACTCCTGGCACATTCCCCTGTGATTTTAATCCTGTATCTGCAGCTATTTTTATCTTCCCAGAGCTTTGCAGCCTAAGCCACAAAAAAGGTGAGGAAAGCAAGAATTAAAGGGAGAGAGAAAAATTAAAGCAAGGTAAAGAAGCCAGTAATTCCTAAAACAACCTATACAACTTTCAAAACTCATTGAGGTATCTGAAGAAATTAGAGATTATGAACTGTTTCTTTAGGTTAACTATTACATTACAGAATCACAGAATATCCTAAGTTAGAAGGTACCCACAAGGATCATCAAGCCCAACTCCTGGCCCTGCATGGGACAAATCCAAGAGTCACACCCTGTGCCTGAGAACATGTCCAAATGCATCTTGATCTCTGACAGGCAGTGCCCCACCACCCTCGGTGAAAAACCTTTTCCTAATATCCAATTTAAATCTCCCCTGACAGAGCTTCAGGCCATTCCCTCGGGTCCTATTGCTGATCAGTCACAAGAGATCAGTGCCTGCCCTGTGCTTCTCCTTGTGAGGAGCTGTAGGCTGCAATGGGGTCTCAGTCTCCTCGCCAATGAGAACAAACCAAGTGACTGCAACAGCTCCACGTGTGGCTTCCCCTGGCACATAGGCAGCAACTTAAAAAGATGTCAAGACAATCAGAAAACTAGAAGTGGGGTGTTTTGTTGTTTTGGTTTTTTTTTTACATAAAGTTCTAACAAGGAACAGAAAAATCGTTATCCTCTGCAACCAGCTAAAGATTAATTGCAAAGCTTTCTGAGAAGGTTAAAAAAAAAAAAAAAAAGACACCTGTAGAATTTTCTGGTAGCAGCAGAAAAACCATCAAGCACTTTTTATAACCAGAGTAAAATAAGCAGCTATGAAGTTACTACTGTGGTCAGCGGGGTTCTCCTCTCTGCAGAGGTTTGACACTGGAAGAGGAACAATAAATTCTGTCCAAGAAAAGCAGGAACATCCTTCCAGCATGACAGAATCAACTTCAGTTTCCAATGTGACAAGCCAGAGGTCGTCCCCTAGAAAAAGCTATTGGAAGCTGGATCCAAACAGCAGGTTACCACTATAAATGTGCTTTTCAAACATGTATTGAACTTCCTGAGAACAATACAGCTATTCTTGAATGGTGATTTAATGCTCCCTTTGTTTTGCTTTTTAAAATCTACTCTTGCCAGTAGGTTACATATCTTGGTTAACTTATATACTGCCAACTTTCAAATTAAGAGGCAGGTAATGATACAAAAACAGACGTGGCAGCACAGGATCAAAATACTAACAGGAAGATAACACAGTGGAGGAGAAGTGGAACATGGTATGGGGAAAGATGGAAATAAAAAGTGGAAGTAGCACAGAAGATTTATACTTTGACTAACTGTATAAAAAAAAAGTGGAACAGAAACCAAATAACTAGTGAGCTGTTGAGATGAATTGGTTGAACTGTAAAAATAAAAAAAATCAAGTAGTAACAGTTATTATTGACTGTAGTACAGAAAATTAATGCATGGTTTAATGACTGCTGAGTATATATTTTACACCTAGCCTGATTTCATTAATATGAAATAGACTGAATGTAGCTTGTCCAGTTTAAGGAATACCAGCATGTTCTTTATTTCTTTATTTTTGTGGTAGACCATCTCTGGCATCCCTCCTTAATATTTATTTTATATTTTTCACCCTTATGTAAAAACAAACAGAAAATTACCTCTTTGAGCTATTAAATATAATTCTGTATTTTCAGTCAATCTGTTATATTCAGCATCTTTTGGTCTACGAACTTTGTGATCTAACACATTTTTCTCTCTGCTCCTCTTCCCGGATAGGATGATGCCAATGCAACACTATTGTGCTGCAGGAGTCCCAGTGCTGTTCACCTTTCTGAACACAGAGGTTAGCAGTACTCTTGCAGCACTGAAGAAACAGTGACAAGACAACTTAAATTGCAGTTTGGACACAAAGGTAAGTATGGTTGAGGGGGCCTCAATGAAAGCTAAAGGGACTGACAGTCTGCACCTCTGATATGTACTTCAAGGCTTTTATCTTCTGTGTTCTTTGTTAATGAGATGAACCCAGTGGCACTTAGGAAGAATTCTTCAGCAAATGCTGCATCCCTGCATCTCAAACAACAAAAAAAATATCTAAGCCTAATAGCAGACTGCACAGCAGCACAACCTGCAGCCTGGATACACAGCAGATATTGTGCAAGTGCAAAGATGTACCCAAATGAAATCAAATGCAAATCAAGTTCTAATGCTACTACTTTGCTGACAGCTGGAACTTTCTTCTACAACTCCACACTCCAGGACACTTTTCGCTGAAATTCTGGAGGTGTTTTAAGCTGAAGATAGCTTAGAGTGTTAGGAAGCTGCTCTTGGCCAGTGGGATGGGACTGGAAGAAGAGCAGAGAGAGGAAAGAGAAAAGCCCAATTCTGTGTAGAAAAGATGCTAAGAGAACACTGGTCATCCAGATGTCCACGGTAATTTCCTGCAGCTCTTCCTTCTCACAAAACCCCTACCATTTTTCCAAAACCAATGTAATTTGCTTAAAAAAAAAAGCAAACTAAACAATAAAAGAGGTAGTATGTTCCTAAAGTATTTAAAAATAGATTGCAAAAACTATTTTGAAATCCAGAGATATTTAAAACCTGTCCTCTTCAAAGAGGACGAGTAAATTTACGAACTTCAAGAGATGAAACAACGCTTCGCTGCTTCAGGAATACACCAGGAAGCAAGAGCAACTGTTTACTTGCTCAGGAGATGGAGACCAACCTGCTTCAAACGACTTCCCCCGCCTTCCCAATTCCACCAGAAGTTAAATATTTCACTTATTCAATTAAAAAAACCCAAACAGCCGAAAGAGCAAGAAACGACACACCAAGTCCACCTGCTTGGCGCTCCTCCCCTCGGGTGAACTACAGCAAACACACTCAGCAGATTCTACCCCTCGTAACTTTCCTTCTGGGAATCGCGGCTGCGGTGTAGCAGGGCAGCACTGACATTACAGACGCGCACGAAACCGAGCGCAGCAGCGACCAAGGGCTTGTCCAGCACGGCCGTGGCACAGCCCCTCTCGCCGCAGGAGCCCTGCCCGACCTCGGGAGCCCGTGGGGCGAGGCAATGCCGCGCATCCACACGCGTGGGCCTCCCGCGTCGGGAAGGGCGGCGGCGGCCGCATCCCCCACGCCATCCCCGGGGCGACCCGACCCGCTCCCGTCCGCCCTCCCCGTCTCCCGCCAGGCTCACCGGGTCCGGCGCCCAGGCGGGCAGCGCCAGGGCGAGCAGCGTCAGCAGCGCCCAGCCCCGGCCCGCCATGGTCCTGCCCGGCTCGGCTCCGAGCGGCGCTTCCCGGAGCGGCGGCCACATGACAGAGCCCCGCCCGCCGGGGGCGGGAGCGGCGGCCCGGCACCGCCCGGCCCGGCCCGGCCCGGCACCGCCCGTGCAGCTACGGTACAGGGCAGCGGCTCATGCTCACTGGCGCTTCCACAAAAGGCAACTTCCGCACAGAAGAGTCTGAAATAAAATCGCCTCTCTTTGGCAACGCTACGAGAAAACCCGTGGCACCAGTTTTCACTTTGGCAGTGCTGCGATTTTTAATTACTCTGTGTCCTGCGGAGATTCTAAGCAGCCTGTGCAGTGATGCCTACATAACTTAGGTCAAAGTTACAAGGTGCTTATATAGCTTGAGTTATAAGATATGACTATAACCTGATATACCTATAGAACCTGATATAAATATAACCCAAATCATAGCTTTTTCATATTTATATAACCTGATATTAGGAACTTTCTATACAATGTAATGACTAGTATATGGTTAACTAGTTGCTTAATGCTGAACAGGCAAAACAAAGAAGAAAAAACTCACCAGGTGGATGGCTTTAGATATAGGTAAGTATAGTACTAATGAGAAATTGGCAAATTTAAAGCCAATTAGCTACAAAATAAAGAATTTAGACTGGTTAGGACCAGACAGACCAAGGAATACCATAACTGCACACGCTCCAAAGACAAAGCTGAAAAGTTCAGTTGAGAAGATGACCTTGGAAGCCTTCATCAGAGACCCCCGATGACCCCTGAATTGGGGAGGCACAAGCGTAGTGTGAAAGAACTATCTAATAACCATGAGATCATACTATGTAAATTTGTTCTGGAGCATATACGATGATGTTACAGTGACATAGTGATACTAAGCAATGCTTACTGTATAAATACACCACAGCACTTGACGAAGGTGGGTGAGTTAGGTGGAGCACCACCAAATACCTGCTCTATAGACATCAGTCTATGGGGATTTATTTCCAGCCTATCTTTTGATCATCAGTGGTAATGCAAAATGCTAGGCAAGCACGTTCTCGAGGAAGGACTTTTCCCCACCTTGTGGCTTAGGAGTTCAGGAAGAAGGCAACTGGAGGAACAGACTAATGAGAAACACAGGGCATGAGATGCATCTGTCTGTAAGAGCCCTGTCTATGTCTTCTAGTCATTATTTAAATGGTATCTATGTCATAGAATTGGAGAATCGTTTGAGTTGGAAGGGACCTTAAAGATCATCTAGTTGCAAGCTGCCTGCTTATGGGCAGGGCCACCCTCCACTAGACCAGGCTGTTGGAACATCAAGTACAAACCAGCAGCCAAATTAGGTGCGTACTGTTATTTTAGTACGAGCATTATCATTTTAGTGTGAGCAAATTAATGCTTCATGAGTATGTACATTGGCAACTGTTGGTGGAAGCACCATGAAAAAGTACCCAAAAGCTTCCAGGATGCCTGTGTTTAAGCTTGTCTCATGTGCTCTGTGCAGTGCCTAAGACATGTCATGTGGTTTCAGGCACACAGAAGAGAAGTGATGCAGTCTTTATATTATTACTTAATTGCCCGTGCAATTAACTCTCTTACAAAAGCAAGTGGGGGTGGCAGGAAAAAGAGTGGAAGTCCTTGGCAGAAGGTTGACTGGAAAGCTGCAGGGAGCTGCAAAAATTAAGAAAGAGGAAAGGATAAAAAATGAACTGTAGTGTGGGAAAGCCTTGGGAGGAGAGCATGCAACATTGTAGGAAGGAGCCAGCTCAGACCAGAAGCTGGGAATTGCATGGAGCTCTAGAGATCAAGGCAGAAAAACATTAAGAACAGGTGAAAGAAGATACAGAAACAACCTGTGGATTTAGAAACCGAGAAAAATTACAGTGTAACAGGATAAACCTTGAGAATTTCATCGGAGTGTTCTTTAAAAACAGGAGATCAGGCCGTTTCTATAGAGTCTGGAAAATATTTTCAGTTGCAAACAAACACATGTAAGACAACAATCCTGTGTTTACTTCCAGATATCTGAATATAATAGTATGGGCTATGGTAAGAAAGAGTCTGATTAAGCTAGTCCTGTTATTTTCTGAACATCTGCAACCCTTTTTGCTCATCTTTTATATCTGGGGCAGACAGCTCTTAGGGACTTAATTATCTTTGTCTAGATGCTTTACTGCCTTTAGTACATTTTTAACAGGAGAAAATAAACAATGACTTTGGAAAATTAAAAACTCTTTCCAAATGCTCTGAAGACAAAATGATACCATTGTCATATTATACAGTGTACTTTTTTGAGGCCTCTTTGTGATTCTGGTTTAGTTCTTTCACTGGTAAAGAAATTCTCAATTTAAGAAACAGTTCTCTTCCAGAACCAGCTACCTTCTCTGATTATGGCTATTCTGCTATGTTCCTATCACAACGCCTTGCCTTCAGGTTCCACACCAGTACCTTAGGCCCACCATTTAGTCTAGGTTTCTTCTGTCAGTTTTCAAAAATCTAAGAAGGAAAATGCTTCTTAAGATGTACCGTTAGCTTGCTAACTGTACTGACAGCTGGTCTCACTGATATTTAGCACTTACACCCACCCTTCTGCTCTCTCATACTCATCCATGCTGTACTGTATTACCACTCTTCAGATCTGTTCCTTCCCCTCTAAGTAGAGGCTGCCCAAATTACTTCCCCCTTTTTTCTCTGTTTCAGTTAAATTAAAGCTCCTTGTGCTAGCACTACTGTCAGGATGTAGTATCTTCAAGACGACTTCATGAATACCTCCATTGGAAAAACATCCAAAAAGACTCCTCACAGAAACAGCTAAATATACATACTGATCTTCACTATTTTGTTATACTTTTGATTTCATTTTCTTGGGACAAGACTTCCAGTCAACTCTCCAGATCCCCATTTCTGTGCTATCTCGGAACATATTTTCTCAAGACTGTAGTGTATCATTACTGCCAACACACAGGGCAACCCCAACGTTACTAAGATACCCTTATTCTCTGCCAGGCTGCCAGTCCCTTGCCAGACCCTCTCCTACTAGGGACAGTCTCATTTCATTTGCTCTGCCATTGCTTTTTAATTCACTGCTCTGACAAACATGCCTCACAGTTCCATTTTACTCTTACTATCACTTAGAGCTACTTGCAACACACTGTATTCTCCTATTTACACTAATATGAAATGGAAAATTCCCTTTCAGAGGTAATTCTCAGGTTCTTATTCTGCTGCTGAGCAGTCCTTTCAGCATCCTTCCCCACCAGAGCATATGTTTCTGCTTACAGGTGTATCTGTGTTTGAGTGATCGTTTTTGTGGGTTCTACCAGTCAAGTTTTTATTCAAACAATATATTCTTCAAAGAAAAAGATGCTGTAACATCGATCTTCTTCCACCATCAGCATTCACTTCAGATGTAGTTAAGATTCACAGCGACTGTGGATCAGTGACACCTGCAATGAACTTCCAGTAAGTGGTTATTCTGGCCTGCAGCCTGTTCCTTGCAGTGCTGTCTTTTTCTCAGTGTTTCTGAGAGTAGTTTTGGCAGCAAGCCACTTCCAGGGCTGTCATATTCCAACGGTTTGTTGTACAACAGTTACTTACATTTCTGGGAAGGAACATATAGTGTGGTACCTAAAACCACTAGTTAATGAGCCCTAATCCCCAGTTCTAGACCCAATTAAGGAGTTCTGGAGAAAAATTAGTAACTTTTTTCCTCCCTCTCTTCCACAGCACACCTCACAACTATGTTGCATTTTTGTCCAAGAATTCCTGACTCTGGCCAGGAACATTTGCCAACAATCATCTATTTATTTCTAGATTTTGTCCTAAAGGCAACGAAAAGCCAGGGAGCTTTCTCTCTGGACTAAATCAGTGTATAGTCTGTCTCCCAGGCCTTAAATTACATGGCAAATAGCTTAACATTGTTAATTAATACACCTTTAATTTTTGTTGGAGCCGTTCCCTTAACATGAGCCAAGTATTCACAAGTGATACAGTTAACAAGACTTTATAGCTTGCGGTTATTAATACTTGAGAAAATTTTAATACAATTCTGCAGATACTTAAAAAATGCCTTAAATAAAAAACAATTATAAAATATTTTACTCTTTTTCAATTTGATGCTGCCATCAAAGATGCAGAAGAAAATGGACCAAAGTAGTAGGAGAAAATGGATGTCACTTGCAGTATCTGTCTGCTTTCACTTTAGCTCTCCTGTAGGGGAAGAGTGAATGAAACAAGATTTAGATTAAGACTAAATACAATTACACCTGGGTGTTTTATCTGCCTCAAAGTTAATGCATTGAAAGCAATTTTGCTTCAAAGTATATATAAAGGCCTAACAACACTTTAGATTTGTTAATTAACTTTGTTTTCCTAAGGAGATAGAACTGCAGTGTCTAAAGTTAACCTTGACTTTCTCTTCAAATCATCAAAATTTCACTTTGTCTCCTCTGAGGAACGGAATTCAGATTCAGTGTGATCTGAAGCTGACCACCTGTGAGAGCCCAGGAGTGTTCTCACATCACTTGCAATTATCAGAAATACTTATCTGCATTCCAACCAATGAATTAATGCAAATATTTATACTATATACTGACATAAAAGGCTTAAAAAATTCAAGACAGTTTCTTTAGTCTCAGCTCAGAGGAAAAAAATTATCGCTAGAGAACATAAAGACTGTCCTTAATAAACATTATTTATCTTTAAAATGCTACTTCTGTCTCTCCAAAATGTCCTGGTGCTATAGGTATTGAAAAATGTTAAAAATTAACTCAATTTTCATGATGAAAAAGATTAATCCCTCAACAACTCTGTACTAAACAAATTCAACAACCTAGTTAAAGATTTCCAAAAGAACTAATTTACAGGTAAATTCAAACCTGCCAACTTCAGCTACAGAAGTGAAAATCCAGATTAAAAAAAAAGCAAGCAGCAACCCCAGGACTCAGGCACAAGACTCACCAGTGGAAAAATGCTCAGGAAGCTATTTCCCTGAAATTTAGCCCCCTTTTGTACCCCAGGTTTTACTGTAATTCCATCTCCCAGTAGTTTTTTAATCAATACATTATTTCTACCACTTTGAAGTACCTGTCAAGGAGCATTTCATGAAAAGTGCCTTCTTTCCTGGCTTTTCTAAGGGCTTTTGTATCTTCTTGGCTTATTTTTAGCTTTTTGTCTTGAAAACTTTGGAATTTCTTCCTGTAAAGGGGAAGAAAAGTAGTAAAGAACTGGAACTTGTTAAAAATTTTGTTTCCCAACACAACAGCAGCTGTAGTAAGAATCTTAGCTCCTATTAAAGCAGCAGATAACTGACCTAATAAAATCCAGCAAACCATCCCAGTACTAAGGTTGCACTAAGGCTTCTGTGAAACGTGAAAACAACATTCAGGTTTTATTTTTTTGGCAGTCTAAGTAGGAATGAGTTCCTATGTGACTAGCATGAAGTGGTAACAAATTCTAAAGAGCCCCTTCTTCAACTACTAGCATAAGAAATCAGGGAGTAAAAGTATACTGGATGTAGTTGCAAGGTGCTTATAGTAGGGAAGGTATTTTCTCTGTGAGAAAAGGCCAGGGGCTGCCCTGTGCTGGACAGAGCTGGCTCTCAAGACATCCATTACAGGACACAGCCAAATCCACCAGCAAAGCTGGTTGCACCCCTATGTAAACATTTAAGATAAGGCAAAATGCCACACAGGCAGAGAGGGGGAAAAAAGCCCTAAAGGTCCAAAATAGTAGTGTGAACATCAAACATAGAGAAGGAGAGAGGAAGGAGATGCTTTAGGCACTGGAGCAAATACTACCTCCAAGCTGATGAGTAAGACCATACCAGAGCAGGGAAAACGTGGGAAAGGAAGGGAGTGGCTGAAAGAAACCACTCTGTATTGACCTATTGCCCAACTGGCTTGGAGGAGCAGGTAGAAGAGTATGGAGTGAAGCTGAGCTTGGGAGATGGAAGAAGGAAAGGTAATGTTTTAAATTTTTGTTTCTCAGTATCTATACCCATTTAAAAGGAAATAAATTTAACTAATTTTTCACAGTTAACTCTGGGACAGTATCTGGTCCAGCATCTCTCCTTTATCTCAACCAACAAGTTTCCTCATCCTGTTTTCTTCCCTCCTCCTGCTAATGAAAGGCTGGATGGGAGTTGGGCTCTTCCACCAAAGATGGCCCCAGTTAGATGCAAAAAAAGGTACCTGAGCCTGTTACCAGCTCTAAAGTACGTACACGTAATTGATTTCACACTGTTTAACGTTTCCTTTGTCTTCTTGTGGAACTTCATCTTTCTTCTTAGTTTCTCTTTCAGCACAAGTACGAATCTAATAATTGATAGAAAAAATAAAAAACGATCAAAACACAATAGAAAACACCTGTATTTTAAAAACCGTAAGTTACAGGTTAAAGATGACTACATATCCTTCATAAAAGAATGAGAGTCACAATGACTTTTCAAGTTCACATTTTCAAACTGGTTAACCAGAGACAATTTCAAAAGTAAGAGCTGCCTGAAACATGGGAAACGTTAAGTGCAATCCTTGATACATAACTGCCTTCATCTCAAAGGAGCACTATTACAGTTCTTAATTTTGGCAGGAACAATTCAGAGATTGACTTAAAAATACCATTGCTCAGAGTAGTTAAGATACCTATCTCTATCTGGGGAGACACATGTATTTCCCGTGTTCAGAGAAAGTCAAGATAGTCTTTTTAGATTCTCTTAAAAGATTATCCCTTCTGGATCATTCTGGTAAACCCTTCTCTATCCCTGATTCAGTCACAATTCCTCTCTTCTGTCCCAAGCTGTTTAGAACTACCTGGAAGATCACACAGACTCTTTTGTCCTCCTGAGTGGTAGAGTATCTTCTTATCTCTACAGGAAGTACTGACAATTTATGCAGCTCTGGAACTCATTTACCTTTCTTGTGGCCAGATCACTTGACAGCTTATAGGAAGCAATTTTAACTGTATTAACAGAAAATCTTAGCACACAGACTCCCACTTGTTTGAGTATTCCTGCCAATCCTGTATTAGTTGTAGAAGTTATAGATTACCTTTATCATTTCTTCTTCCCCTGCGGTTTTGCTTTTGGCTTCTATGTCCCCCTCTTCATTACATCTAATAAAACGGCTGTTTGCTGCTAGTAATGCCATTTTCCTCTGCAGAAACAATATCACACATTGTGAGTATAATGAGGCCGTATATAATCCTTGATTTGTAACATTTATCCTCTACAATACACCAAAAGTCTCTGTAAATGGGTTTAATTCTTTTATGTGTGGATACTTCAACGGCTAGCCAGCAGACTTGCTGGCTCCGTCAGTTTTAAGATGCTTATAGCTGCCAAAATGCTGCTATCGAAATCTTTTAAGAACTTTCAATTATAGTAAATGCATTGCAGTTGGAAAACTGTAGTTACAATATGAAAGAGATTGCAAAAGGCTTTTACTTCATTGTCAAAAACCATCTATATAGATTAACTCAAAATACAGTCAAACACTAGCAACATCAATTAAACTATTCCAAACAGCTTACATCTTGGAAGACGGGTTCCCATTGCTCTCTTGATCCTATTGCATCAGAACGTCCAACAACAAGTCCGTCCGAATTTATACCAAGATATTTGCCATAACCAGACTTGAGAGCAATCCTCAAGGAGATAATGAAGGAAAATAATAGTGTTTTTAATTCATGAAATTCACAACATCAACACATCACAGACACTTCTAGTAGTAGACAGTGTATTTCAAAGAGTATTAAAATGCTCTCCCACAAAATCCAAAGATAACAAGTATCAAAACTTGAAACATTATAGTAATTACCTCGTATCAGACAACTTTACTGCTGTAAACTGCTCAGGAGGACTAGGGCCTTCATCACCTGAGGAATGAATTTTCCATTAGCTAAGCATGAAGTATAAACATGAAATATATTAGCCTATTAATACTGCAGTATCAAAAAGAATTAATCATTGACCATTTCTAAATACTATGGAAAACAGTTACACTATTTATTTCGTTAACAATTCCTTTTTGAGCATTCACTTCTAAAAAAGCAATGCTCATTTATGTTCATGTATTTACAGTACTTAAAACAAGACACAAAATAAAGATGATCCTCATTTAAAGAAATTTATAATTGAGTGGCTCCTGGTGGCTTTGAAAACCTTAATCTCCTTGTAATGTTACTTCTTTCATAACAAAAGGCACTATGGTTCAACTATGGTAACTCAACTCAGTATCCTAAAAGCTACAAGCTTCTCTTGTTCTGGTTTTGAGGGCAGACAATATGGCCACTGTTGCTCTGGTCTCACTCTCACACACTGTCAGAGTTCTGGAACAGTCAATGTCAGTCATGGCTCTCAAATTCAAAGAGCAAGCTAATTATCCCAGCACATTAGTAGTCCTCTTGTGCAGTGACAAAACAAGTATATTAAGGATGCAGCAATAACCATTAAAACTCATCTACCTTGAATTTCACTCTTCAAGTGACACCATAAACATTTTATAGGTTTTAATAAAAATTATACTGCTTTTTATCCAGCAAGTGGTACGGCCTTTAACAGGTAATCATCTCCAGTGAAGTTTAATTTACTGCACACATAAGCCAGCATGAAACTAGATGAGTGAAACTCATTGATAGTCATTAGGTTTAAGTTATCTGCATGCATCAGCTAGGACGATTGCATTTTTTGTAGTACACTGGTTTTAGCTGTAACACTGCTTGCCTTGAAGTGATGCTAGTTCTATGCTTTCAGGTACTTCATTATTAAAACTCTATTATTTTCAAATTTCCTGGAACAAACCTTTGTGTGGTGCTCCAAGTGTAAACAAACCATTGTCGAGAGCATGGATGTAAGCTCCTTTATCCATTTCTATAGCTATAGTTCCTGTAATTTCACCAAAATTACTGACAGCCCACCAGTTTCCTGCAATACAAAACCATGACAGTTTATTAACAGAGTAATCACAACTTCAGATAACAGTAGATCAAGAGATTATATTTCTGTGTCTTCTCTGAAATTTTAAATGCAAAAGATAAAATTCCTATAGCCATGTCACAATCTTTGTGCATTATTTTATAGTTCAGAGCCAATTTAATGGTGTTCCTGCTGCTGCTTCACGAAGTCCTGCTCTTTGACCTACTGTCATCCCTAGTTACAAACTCCTGTGCTTCTTTGTGTTAGTCCACAGACCAAGCTGATTCATTCAGCTGATGCAGCAAAGATACACCTCACAAGGAAAATATTTTTCCTTCTGGATCTGTCTCCTGCAGTTTTGGGGTCATATCCATTTATTAGATTCTCCAGCACAAGAGAAAAAGAGATACTATTTCATCTTCGTGTTAAATATGCGAGTTGCAATCCTTAGAGCTCAGTCTAAGTTCAAACCAATCTGTGTTTGAACATTTGACTCCTACAGAATTCTACCAAAGTTAAAAGTAGCCTTTCCCATGTGCACAACTTAGAATTATGACTTTGACAATTTTTGAACAGTAAAATTTTCTCCTTGTATACTGTCTTACAAATATTTTCTACCTCATTAAGGTAGTAAAAGGTTGGGTTTTTTTTATTATTATTACTTATAAAAATCTGAATCCATCCCATTGGTGTCACAAGTTCCGTTTGGAATCTAGGAAGATCCCATGATACAAATAACATGTGAAAAATAGTTATATATCTCTACAGGGGTTACACTTGCTTTACAAAGTCCTGTAACGACCTCTTTAGCTCCTGTCACGTTCCCTACAGTTTCCACACTGTCATGTAACTCCTGGAAAGCAGCTCACCAACAATATCGAGCTGCTCTGCCGCATCCTCTTCCCTTTTCCTTTTCTTTTCCTTGTGCTTTTTCTTGCTGCAAGGGGAGATGCAAAGAAGTGAGAAGGAGCCGCCGGCCCAGCCCTCGTCCCGCACGGCCTCACGCCCGGGCCCTGCGGGAGCGGGTCCCTGACCTGGCCCGGGACCAGCGGCTGCCAGCCCGGCCCCCTGCCCTGCCGGCGGGCCCGGGGATGTCCCCGGCCGGAGGGAACGGGAGGGAAGGGGAGGGCCGGCCTGGCCTCATCCCTGCGGCCTCATCCCCGCCCAGCCTCCTACCCCGGCCCGGCCGCGGGTGCCGGCCCCTGCGGCTGCCGCAGCGCGGGGCAGGGCAGGGCAGGGGCGGCGCGGCGGGCAGCCCGCTCCTCACCTCTTCTCTTTCGACCCTTTGAGGACGAGCTTGGTGGATTTGACGCAGGAATACTCCGCCATGCCGGGATCCGGGAGGGCGGACGGACAGAGCCGGCCCCGCCCCCGGCCGGGCGGAAGCCCCGAAGCCGCGGCCCCTCCTCCGCCCGGCTGTGGGCGGGCAGCGGCGCCAGCAACAGTCGTAGCACGTGGAGGGTGCAGGATTTGAGCGGGAAAATAAAGGACGAAAAGTTTAAAATTACATTTAAACACATTTACCTGGGCGCCTTTCTCTTTTAAATCTGGCTTGGCTCCCTGCGTGCAGTGCCTGCGCTTTGCCGGCCTGCAGGCAAGGAGCGGTAAGGATTGAATAGCCCTCAGCTGTGTGTTGTCAAACACGTGCCATGGACATCAGCACAGCCCTCGGGAGTGAGGGCAGCAGGCCTTGCCTCTGGCAGGGTTACACGGGAGCTGGACACGTGGATACGCTGGTGAAGGAGTAAAGACTTCCCGAGATGCCTGTGAAGGCCAGCTGGGGAAATGCAGCTCGCAAGTCAGCCGAGTGTACCGTGCTAAGGGTGAAATGAGGTATGACATTTTTTCCCATCCTGTTAGCCGCTTGGTATTCCACAGAATAAAATCTACCTCAGACTTCCCCCTTGGCATATAACAGTCGTTTTCTCATATTAATATAGCACGTTCTAGACTGGTACCAATACGCTTTCCTTGGGGAACACCCTTACTATCACACGTGTGATTAGAATCACAATTACAGTAGTAATTTGTGTTTAGTCTTCAAAAGAGTTGTTCCTACTTCACACTCATGAGAGAGGGGCTGTGTGCCCAAAAAGTTGCCTGTTGATTATATTACCTGGTTAAATTAAATATACTATCCCTATGAAAGCTGCTTGTACATGTCTTATGTACAGGTGCAGAGACGCTTGCATTGGATTGCTTCTTTTTGGTTTCCTAGTTAATTTCCTATCTATGCTTGTAAGTTTTCAGCACCTCAGAGATATCTTCTACAAGTAAGAAATTATAGTTTTGTACGTATTTATGTCAAGGCTTTTAAGGTCACTGAAGGGGTGAGCAGCTGATAAAGCTTGGTGTGCAAATGTCCCAGTGAATGACCCTGGAGTTGGTGGATGACTGCATGTGTCTTCCACAGATACTTTGGCTGGATCCAGAACCCTGCCTCTTCTCACCAAAATGCTTTGAATTTCTCTCTGTGTGCCTAAGATGGCACTACCTCGTATTGTTATTTGTGAAGCTGGAGTAGTAGAAGCTGTAAGTAAGTAAAGTTTTACTTACTGTGTAAAATGAAAACAAATAGTAGTGAACTTCAAGGAGGTTTTGGCAAGTCCCCCATTTCAGAACTTTGCGGGTGTTGAGTTTGTCAGCAAAAGCAATACCTGAATCAAGATGCTGGTCCATTTAAATTCAGAATACCTTTTGTGTATGGTTGTGTGTTGGATATGCTACTTTCCTGTGAGTAAGTAGGGTACCTACCCTCTGCAGGGTTCTCTTTTATGGTTCAATATGCTCAGGAGCTGCTTTTCCATGCAGGTATCCTGACATTTTTGCCCAACTTCCTCTTTGTTGGGATGCATTGCTCCTAAGCTTAGAGGAGGTGATCCTTAACTATTATAACCATCTTTCTTGGGTACCTCTTCCCTCTGGGGCTTTATGTCGTGGTACTCTCCCAAGCAGGTGCACAAAGAGATGCAAATCCTCTTGCCTGAAGTCTGGGGGAGCCAGCTTACTGTTCACCCTCCTGCATGCCCTAAGGATCTTGAACTCCACCATTTCATGGTCACTGCAGCCAAAGTTGCCCTTGTGTTTCACATTCCCCTCCTTGTTGGTGAGAACAAGATCCAGCATAGCACCTCTTCATCTTGGCTCCTCCTTCACTTGGAGGAGGAAGTTGGCATGTTAGCCTATATATTCATATGTCTCCAACCCTTTGGTATTCACTTCAAGCCAACTTCAGCAGTAAGCAATTTTAGCAAATACAGTTACAGCTGTATTTGACTTTTATCATTAAATACTTTTTTTTTTTTGCTGGTTCTAAACAGATATTTCTGTAAGGCATATATTTTAGTAAGAGGAATATGAAAGAGGAGAGAGCAATTACATCAAAGTCAGAACAAAGCATAGAAGAGATGAGTGAAGCAGGAAAAAATGTCTGTCAGGCACACTAGCTTGCTAACTTGCTCTTCGGTGGTTATTTTTGGGATCTGAATTCTTTTTAGGCTTTTATTCTGTCGAGAGAAAGCCTGCAGGAGTTGGTTTTGTTCTCTTAACTATAACTTTGCAACTTTATTTACGATGGGTTCTAATTTTTTGACTGCTTAACTGTGCAACGTTAGTATTTACAGGATATTGTACATTTTTGTCAAAGTGGGCCTGTGTTCACTGATAGACTCTGACCAGCACTTCATAGTACACAAACACTTACCTGAGAGGTCAAATAAGGGAGGAAAAGGTAAGAATAAAAAGCATTTGTAAGAGATATAATAGCTTTAAAGCTGTTAAGAATTATCTAAGGTGAATTATCTAAGCTGGATTATTGTTGTGTTTCTAAATTTTTTAAAAAGCAAGAGCAATTAAAACAATTTAAATTTTAAAATGCATATATTTTAATCATATGCTAGATGTGCATTTTGCTATTTGTCCACCAGATGCTGCTACAGCCACAAAAATAAATGCGGATTAAGAAGTTTGGGGGGAAAAAAAAGGAGGTAGTTTTATTTTTATTACAGATGACCCTTACATAATCACGATCTTGGAAAGAATTATGCATGTGCTTACATTTTGTGTAGGGAATAGTCCTAGTGAGTCCAATTAAGCAGCTCATTTAATGTAAAGTTGATAGTGGTTGCAGGCTTTCTTAGGATGGGGCTATATCAATTACGTTTGCTGTTTTCTTAATTTGTTATTCTGTTTCCCTTCTTTTGTTTTATGAAGAGAAAGTAGGAAAGACAGAATGACCGAGACAATAAATATCTTATTTTAATAGAAATATAGATTTTTTTCAGGCTCTCATAACGTACAATGTATTTTCTTGTCAATTGGTATAATTTTATTTAAAATTCACGTATCTTAGGTTTCTTCTTAAATTTAGTGACACTAGCAACAAATAGGCATCATTACAGTTTATGCAGAAGATGATAAAACCTTTTCCTGCAGGGCAAAGTGATGAAATCAATCTGAAAACGGTATCTAAAATGGTACCACTTTAGAAAAGCTATTTAGACTCTAATTTGCCAGTTAGTATTTTTGAAATTAAAACATTTCCAATATGTCTGGGATATGGTTGTTTAAAAAAAATATAACAGTTCATTTTCTTTATGGAATTGGAAATAAATGGAGCCTTTGTGTTTGCAATTCTAGAAAACAAATCACTTTTTTAATGACTGGATTTTCCTGCCAGCTTGGAATTTGCCGCATGTGCATTTTATTTTGAATGCCTAAAGAGTGAAATCATTTGCCGTCTTTCATGCAGATGGGGCAGATTGGCTGAGGTGTCATTTGCGAAATGTGCACTTTCATCATTCAGGTTTGAAGGGGACCATTACGAAAATGTAATAGCAACTCATGACTGATGGAAGTGAGGAGCTGAGACTGAGCATCTATGGACATAGTCTAATGTCATAAGAGCCTAGACCCAAACTTGGGTGCTTTGGAGTTTTCTTCCATCATCTTTAGTTATGCTAGGAAATATTAAGAAACCTCCCCAAACCAGAGAAACTTGAATTAGCTCTCTTGATAGCCAAGCTGACAGATTACATGTTTTTTTCCTCTTTTGTTTATAAGTGTGGGCCCCTTGTGAAATATCAAAGCTCCTGTCTGATGTAACAGCCAAGATCAATACAGTTTTGTTTACTCATTTACAGAAGGAGTGAAATCTGATGTGAGTTAGAACCAGAGGAACTATATTTTAATTTTTCCCTAGTGGGACAAAGTCTAGAGTACACATACTCTGGAATGTTGTGGTGGTTTGTCATAATGTTCAGCAGCAGTTGTGCCAGTGTTGAAGCATCCCCAGGACATGATGGTGCATACCACAGTAGCATGACAGATGTAAATAAAAAGCTAATTTGATTCGTAGCATTTTTAATACTACATGCTGAAAATGGTTTTATTATAACTTCCAAATTTTAAATGTGACCAGAAATTTTATATATATATGTATATATTTATTTTTTTTTTAACCCAAAGATGTGTTAGATTTTTAGCACCGGTAAATAGATATTATCAAAATTGCATTTCTCCTACTTAGGTTATAGCTCAGTACTTGATGTATTTGGGAAATAGGAAGGGTTTCTCAGCTTGTCAGGACAGGATGGAGCCCCAGCTCAGATGCCCCAATTCTCAGCATCCCTGGTACAGAAACTGTGTGTGGGTTCTGGCTTCTCAGCTTCTTCTGCTTTGCCTGATCACTCCCTCGCTTTCCTCTGCTGTCACTCTATAAAGTTTTGAAGTGAAGTTTTTCTGGCTGGCCAGACCCTCAATATCTGCTTCTCCAGACACTGAGAACCTGCTCTACAATTTGTCAGTGAGCACTCACCAAAATTCCTTTCTACTGGACACTGAGGGAATGCAAAAGAGAAATTAAAAGGTAACTGGAAATGTACAGTGGTTTCATGCAGATGCCAACTCTCTATGGTGTTTACTTGAACTCAGATCTTCTGGTTTCTACTTGTCATCCCAAATGATGCATGTATACTTCTTCAAATTCTGTTATTCTTTTCTACTAAGTGTTGCAACAGCTAAGTGCTCTGCATTTTATCCTGATGTATTAAGGAATATTTTTATATGCATATAAACACTTTTGTTTGTCTGTTAGTCTGTTTATTTATCAGTACATTTTTAAACTGGCCAGATTTGTACCTTTTTAACAGGCACAATCACAGCAATGATTGAAATCTGGTGAGTTCTGAAACTGTTGTTAGATAAGTAGGAAAAAGACCTGTAACTTCCCTGACAAGGGGGAGCGTTGCAATATAATTTCCCATCTTACTAGAGGTGGGAGAGAACACTCATGCAGAAACGAGTCTATGAGAAAAAACTCCTAGTAAATCTAGGGCACCAATGAGTGAAAAATCAAACTGTGTTA